TTTTTGGCCATATCCATAAGAATGTATTTCGCAAAACTGCAATGGAAACACTTTTTTTTTTTTGCATCACACAAGTCATATGATCAGCAGCCGGATGTTACTACTGGCGGAGACAACAAAAAAAGAACAGGAAGTAGTAGAAGGATGATGTTTTGTATTTTTCAGACAATGTGCAGCTGAATTTTCACATCATCACACAGTTCGTAAAAAGTTGTGTCATTCCAACCTATTGAAGACATAGGTCTTTCGTAAAATGGCCAACTACAATTTCATGCGTAGCCACTCCCAAGTACAAAGAACTTGTCCTTATACTTGGGACAACGCTTCCCCAGCCTGTTGTTCGGAAAAAATGTCAAGAAAAAACTCAAAATAATTACTATTCAAAAGTATAAGGATGAACAGGGGTGATGAATTTGACTGGGAATAACAGCACTGTGGATGTCTTGGGCAATTGGGTGCAGGATGTTGTATGCGAGTGTAAATATATGTGGGTGTGTAAATAGATATATATTATTATGTAAATATGCAGGTAGATGTGTATGTATATATATGGGTGTATACTTACATCTTGTTCAGGGAATATTATCAGAGGAGACACCGGCTGAATTATGAATATAACTTATGTAACAATTCACATCCGTTACTGTTGTGATTTTCAGTGACTTATTGCATGATCTATCTTATTCACATGTGATTTTAATTGAATTTCTTATTTAATGGACAAACTACAATATCAAAAAATTGTTTTTTCAAATTTTTTTTTTTTTTTACATTAATAGGATGTCAACAAAGATTTGTGCACATTTGTATTGGAAATGCAGCTGGTGTGATTTTTTGTGGATGGAAAGTCGTAAAAATCTGGGATCCTCTTGGGCAAAGTAGATGTTTCTGATAGACGCTTTTCTGCTTCAGGACCTGCAGGAAGAAGGCCAGGTGGTCCGAGTCGGCAGCCTGAGCGTCCGCTGGGTCCTCATGGAGCACGCCGAGCCGTGGCTCCTGACCGTAAACTGCAAGCAAATGTCTCAGCCTCACGAGAACGCCAAGAGGCGTCCCCACCTGACGAGTCAGTACAACTTCCCCTTTGCACGTAAGAGGTGCATTAAAGCGATGCAGCTGGAGGCCGAGGGACCGCCTGCGAAAAAACCTGCATCTGACAAAGAGAAGCAAACAGACAGAGAGACCTGGGCTGATGGAACTGGGAAACCCAATGCAGACGATGGAACTGGGAAACCCAACGCAGACGATGGAACTGGGAAACCCAATGCAGACGATGGAACTGGGAAACCCAACGCAGACGATGGAACTGGGAAACCCAACGCAGACGATGGAACTGGGAAACCCAATGCAGACGATGGAACTGGGAAACCCAACGCAGACGATGGAACTGGGAAACCCAATGCAGACGATGGAACTGGGAAACCCAACGCAGACGATGGAACTGGGAAACCCAACGCAGACGATGGAACTGGGAAACCCAACGCAGACGATGGAACTGGGAAACCCAACGCAGACGATGGAACTGGGAAACCCAACGCAGACGATGGAACTGGGAAACCCAACGCAGACGATGGAACTGGGAAACCCAACGCAGACGATGGAACTGGGAAACCCAACGCAGACGATGGAACTGGGAAACCCAGTGAAGCTGAACAGCAGAAAGAGCAAACAGATAATGGAAGCGGAGATAAAACACTGATTTTAGAAACAGGGAAAGAAATGTCGACACAGCCTGAACAAGAAGGAGAGGAGATGGAAACTGAGCAAGAACAAGTCAGACCAAGGAGGTTCAGAAAATGCAGGTTAAGTGGTGAAAAAGTGGAAGAGGCTGTAGAATCACCATCAGTCGATACAGAGTGAGTTTCCCCTGCAGCGTGCTTTAGCCACACTTCCCAGATCCGGTTATTTGCTTTGTTCTACCGCCGATCTCGTCTCATGCAGGGAGAATTTGAGCTTCATCAGCCGGCCGTGGCGCTTCATCGACGGAAAGGTGAACCGGCCGGTGTGTAAGGCAATCCTGGAGGCGGTTCTGTACCACATCATGTCTCAGCCGGGCCTCACTCAGCAGACGTTGCTGGAACATTACAAAGACGCCCTGCAGCCTGTGACGGTGCTGGACATCGTGCAGGTAAATGGAAATCCACTTACGACAGGCAGCAGGTTTTACGTTCTCTTCTGGAAATGATGTTAGTGGAATTTTGGTTTTCCTGGTTCCTGCAGGAGAACGAGCTTTGCACTGCGTTTGCTGAGGAGAAGATGCATGCTGATGCTGCATTTCTGAGAAAATAGCTTTGTTTTTTGTCATTTACATTTTGATTTCTAGATTTTGTACATCACAAATCAACTTAAGAAAGTAAATGAAAGCAAAATTAGATAATTACAAAATGTCAGGTCTGACATTTTGGACAAATTTGACCTTTTTGACTAATGACATTCAAAAAACTGTCCATTGTGAAGGAAAATAGTTTTAAAAAATATATATTAAGGACTTCATAAAGCCTTTAATTTTACAGTTTAAATATAAACTGCTGTTGATAAAAATAAGAGATTGACACACGAGACCAAACTGTGCTTTTGCAACAATGGATGGTTTCCTGAAAGGTTTGAAGAATAGAATAGTTATTTATTAATCCCAGCGGGGAAAAGTGTGGAATTATAGTTAGTCTTTTATTACAATATGTTGGTGTTAAGGAGATAAATAAGTCTCACCGAAGGTGAAACACTGAGTCAATCAAAAACGAATCAAAATGCATTTTTGTTATTATTTTATTAAGAAATGAAGCAACGAATCTGAGCAACGACTCCCCTGGCCAGTCCAGGGAAGTGAGGAAAAGCATCTCTTTTGATATCCACCAGTCCTCTTACAGAGACGGGAGCAAAAGGGAGTATCCCACCAGCTTCAGTTTACTTCACAACTCTGGTATTTGTACTTGCAGATTGTGAGGGTTCGACAAAAGTTCAGTGCTTTACAGATCAAATTGATTGATTCATTGAAATAAAGCTACTTTTTTCATAACAGTTGGTCATTAATTGAACATAAGCTTCACTTAATGAAGCTTATGTTCATTAAGTGAGTATGCTCTGTATAATAATATCGTGGCACGTCTCTGCTGTTTGCCTGGAATGTGTGGACATTTCTGCGCTGGTCAGGAGAACCCAATCAGAGATGGTTTGGTTCCAGCTTCTGCATCTGGAGCTGCAGAATAACAACTCCTTATTAGGAAATATCACTCAAAAAACTGAAGCTGTTAGAAGTAACACAAATCATTAGTTATGCAAGGGGACAGAAAACAGTTTGTTTACAGCTTTTGGTGTGGCTTACAACTGAGAGTAATCAGTATGTTTGATTTAAACAGATGTTTTCCATGTAATCTGATTTTAAGATAATTAAAGCAAAACTGGTGCCTACCCAGACTGACCTGAAGCAAATGTTGAGAGGCTGGATGCACCTTTCACCATTTTTTTTTTTTGTAAGACATACCATATTACAGTTTCCTTCTGCTTTATAAGTCTGCAGTTTGTTTTAGTTTTATCACATGAAGAAAGAAAAGAAAATGCATCAAAGTCTGAAGTTGAACATGGCAAAAGAGGAGAAGAATGAACCTGTAATTAAAACTGAAGATTTTTTTATTTGGCAAGAATCGTATGAAACTCGCACCACTGAGCCTCTAATTTTTGACAACTAAAATCTGGTTCTTTGTTTTCCCACCAGGCACTTCTAGAATTGGGATGCGTAACGAAGAGAACTTTAGTTAAAGACCCTAAACCTTCGCTGTTCAGGAGTTCTGCGCCGGCCAGCAGGGGGAGCACTGTGGCGACAGAGGAACCGGACACAGTGTTTTATGAGCCCACCATCAGCTGCTGCCTGCGGCTCTGCAGGGTGCTGCCCAACGAGCGACACTGGAACAACAACCTGCCGTGAAGCTGCTGGGCCTCCTCGACTCGCACAGCCCAGGAGGACTGTCACGGTTTTTTTTTTTTTTTTACGTTTGCTCTTTTGTGTTGAGTAAAAAGTTGTAAAACTAATTTTTGCGAATATTTTTTCTCTGTAAAGATATGGTTAAATGCCAGCATTTTGTTCAGTTGTATAAATTTAGTTGTATCAATATTCTCTCTTAGTGCTTAATCTATAAGTTTAAAGTCTAAATAAAACATTTTTTTCTAAAGATGTTCTTGCTTTCTCCTTTGATTCCTCCTTCCTTTTTTGCAGCGTATGTGTCCTACCTCCTTTTCTATAACCTTAGGTCAGTCTCCTCCCTCCTCTGTTCTTGCTGCTCGGACAGGAACTGCACACTGTTTACGTGCAACTTTCTCTTGTTGTCTCTGTAAATCTTGAAGGGTTCAAACGTGCTTAAGGAAATGGTTTATGGCTTCAGGCACAGCACAGTAGCTACGGGAGGATTCTCAGGAAACGGATAAAATATTCGGGAAGTAAATTGATGAACTGCTCCAGATTCTGCTTGAGCTTCAGTCTGCTTTTCTTTTTTTGTTTTTGAGCACAGATTGACTTAATATGGTCCAGTGTTACTCTGAGGTCTGGACTCAAGTCCAATAGGTGGGCTGTCGTGTGCATTTAAACTCTTAATGGGTCAAATATGTTTTAAAGTCTTGAAGAGACTCTTCCTGTTTCCCCACAGCTTGCTGACAGCTGTTCTAAAAATAAATGACCCCTTGAAAAGGGCATTTTGTATTCACTCAGATTATTATTGTCTACTACTATGTCTTAGGAAACTGAAAATCTGTGGAGGATTTTTTATTTTTATTTATTTTTTAGCCACAACCTGTTAAGTTTTTGGCAAATTCCCACAAAAAACGGGGAAAATCTTTATTTTTTTAGGGGTGCAGTGGACGTTTCAAACAGACTTGGCGTAATTTGCTTCACTTTTGCAGATGGTTGATGTGTTTAGAGCAGAGGCAGGACGTCCGCTGAGGAAACGGGGCGAAGTGTCAACATTGTTTCACTCACAACAAGCATAAAAAAAAAAAAAAGGGAGAAGGAAAGGGGAGTATTTAGCTTCTGCCCTGCAGAGAAATTTTTCTTTTCCAGATGAAGTTCACTGGCTGTTTGGGAATAATGGTTTCCAGTTTGATTCTGTTACTGGTTTGCTCCTTCACCTGTGTGAGCAGCTGTAGTAAGTATAGTTTTTGAACTGTTCTTATTCTCCTTGGTCTGTTTTTTGTAAGAGAGAGAGAGATCATGTATAAACTCACTGATTTGTTACTGCTTAAACAAAAATTGCATCAGATCAGCAGTTCATCTTTGTCCTTCTCATTTCCATTTAAAATGATCAGCTTTGTAATAGACAAATTATTCTTGCTATTTTAGAACTTAATTTCTAGATTCCTTACTGTTTTTGTTAATCGGTCAAAAAAGAAAAAAAATGTATATGCCGTTTTTTGGCTCGTTTTATGAATTTAGTTAGAACTGATCAATAAATGGACTTTTATTGTCATTGCTCAAAGAAACAGAAGTAAAATTGGCAATTAAATACCATCGCTTGGCTACCGGAGCGCACACTGAAACACAAGTGTGCCTTTAATGACATAATAAAATAAATAATAATTTAAAATGAAAAGAAGATAAGATTATATAAAAAGGTTGTAGTTACTGAGATGCTTTGATGGTGCAACTGCTGGTTGCTTTTGACTCAAATATTTGTAATATTAAAAGCAACATTAAGTTCTATATTCAGCACTTTTAAAAATAAAAACCACAAGGTTCTTCAAAACAGATTATAGATTACAGACTGAGAACGAACAAAATGCATGCATGAAAGACAAACGTGAAACAGTCCAGAATAATAAAATCTAAAGAGATTACATCAACTGCTTTTGTGTGTGTATGTGTGTGTGTGTGTGTGTGTGTGTGTTTTTTTAAAAAGATCTACTGAATCCATTTCTGCTTTTAAGTCTTGCGACATAAAAGCACAAAAGCACCACTAGGACATGCATCTGCATGTCCTAGTGGTGACATGCAGATGCAAAACATCTGGGATGCATAATCTACATGCACTGTGTTTCTCAGATTTACGGTGTCCAGACAAACCTGTGATAACTCCATCCAGCCTGGTGGTGAAGTTCGGTGATCCAACCTCTGCTACATGTGTAGCCTGTCAGCAGGCCTGTCTTCCTTCAAATGAAAGTGTTATTAATATGGAAACTTCTCTTGGAACTTCAGTCATAAATGGAAACACAGTGACCTGGACAGTGGAACAAATGACTGTGTGGGATTTGACTCCAAAATGCTACTATACTAATGAGAATGATCAGTGTTGCACCAACCTGAACGTTATCGTCTACAGTAAGTTAATTAATGTGACCAGAACATTTTAGAGTGATTTTTATCCATTGTTGTTACCATTGACATTTTTTTATGTCCAGCGTTTTCAACATGAATGTTGTTGTTTGCTGTTATTAATCATTACTGTTCTTTCTATTTTTGTTCTTGTCTTCTCCCCAGAACCTCCAGAAAGTGTGTCCTTCAGCTTTAACCCCTCTGGACCTCTGACCGAGGGTTCAGAGGTCACCCTGCAGTGTGATGTTCTGAAAGTCGCTCCTGTTAAAAACCTCATTGTGACCTTTTACAGAGGTCAGACGTCTGTAGGTGAAATGAGAAGCAGCAATACCAAGAAGGGACCAGTTAATGGGACATTTTCTTTGAGCTACAAGACCAGCAAAGAAGACAATGGAGTCCAGTTCTGGTGTGAAGCCAAGCTGAACCTGGGAGCTGAAGGGCCACAGCCCCCTCTAGTGGTGAAATCAAAGAAGGCCAATCTCTCAGTTCACCGGAACGAAACACAAGGTAAGAAATGAATCACCTCAATTCAGCTTTTGTGACATTTTAAGACAGAACGCATCATCTAGTCACCCTCAGTCACTTCACTGTGTGATTCAACAAGAATCGAGTGATTTCATAATAAGACAACTAGAAGTTTTCTTTATTAAAATCTTTATCTAGATAAAAAATGCATTTTAATAAACTCTGCAGACATATTAAACATGTTTTCGAGTTTTAATTATGCAATAAGTATTTACATCAGCCAGAAAATGACAGAGTAAACCTAAGGTGTTTGAAATAATTCAAAGTCGTATGTAAAATAAACGATAAATATAAATAAATATTAACTTAAAAATGTATGAGCTGCATTTTTTTTGGGAGATTCTGTTCTAACTCGGATATTTTAGATAAATATGAAAACATGGAAAATCAAATGCAACAATAAAATACATCAGAATTTTATTTCTGGTTGTATTGTTGCCATCAACACGAATTCCAGACAAAATCCAAGATTAAGATTGAGATGTTGCTTTGGAATGACACCCCTCTTCCTATTTCCTTTCTGCTCATTTTAGGTCTCTCTTTCTCTCTCTCTCTCTTTATCTCTCTCTCTCTGTCTTCAGCTCCATCTTTTGGTGCATCCATGCAATTGTGAAAATGCTAATGAGCAGATTAGCATTCTCTCCAAACTGTCACAATATGTGGGAAAAGTAAAGAAGTGTCTCAAAGCAGTGTAGCGAATACAGAATTATTATTATTATTATTATTATTGTTATTATCGTTATTATTATTTAGATCCTCATTGTCTAAACTGAGAAATGCAAATAATAGTTTAATATAACTTTTCTATGACAGTGATAATGAATAGCTAATCAGCTCTTCATTTTTGCTTCCCAGCGGATTGGGGGACGACCGATGATGCTCCCAGTTGGAACCTCTGCAGGCTCATCCTCTGCTTGACGCTTGTAGTTTCTGCTTCTGTTTGAGTCCGAGGTCATTAAGATGCACCGATGAACTGAAGTCGGTAAAATCGGCAGTTCTGACTTTCAGGGTGTGACGTGTCTGAAGATATTTCCATGTATAGTTACATTTTATTTGGCTCGGCTCTTTTTTAACATTTCTCCTAATTGTGTTGATATGTCCTGCATTTCTATCCTGTTGAATGGTTTCTATTATTTTAAACTATTAATATGTAAAATAGCACTTTTCTACCACTTCTAATACATCAAACTCGCTAGTTTTTATAACATCACCTAAAGCAGGGGTGTCAAACTCAAATACACAGTGGGCCAAAACTTTAAATTGAACAAAGTCGCGGGCCAAGGTTCAACAAATGAATTGTTTAATATGGACCCAAACAAGTTCTAAAATAACAATAAATATTGAACAAGCAAAGCTTATCTAACTTAAAAGTGCAGGTGTGCAAAATTGAGTTACTAATAATAATAAAACATATTATATTAAATAAAATATATTTAATATATGAAATAAAATATTAAATATATTAAATAAAATTCAAATAAACATTTAATGCCTCCTTTCTGACGTAAATGTCTAATATTAATTTGAAATTGCCTCGCGGGCCAAATATAATTACACTGCGGGCCAAATTTGGCCCGCGGGCCAGAGTTTGACACCTATGACCTAAGGAGTCTCTGTCTCTGTCTCTCTCTCTCTCTCTCTCTCTTTCTACTTTTCTTAATCTGAATTTTGAGTCTTGATGATCAATGAGACATAATTATTAAAATAACAAGAAACAAAGGCTTGAAATGTATGTGTCATGATTCTAAATGAAATATTTTATCTCCACTTTTTGAGATGACTGACAAGAAATGTTGCACTTTTATACAAGTTTCCTATATTTGTAAATGCACCAGTGGATCAGGAGGCCAATTTCAGTTCTATTGAAAACAAAAACCAAAAAAAAAAAAACCACTAAGATTTTAACTAAGTCTCTAAATATCTCCTTTCTGCTGACCTCATTCCTTGACATTTGTACTAAACTACAAGACGCTTCTGAGATTTCTTTCTGTCGATGCAAAGTGCTGCACGTTCCTTCTGTTCGCTTTGTTTCTCCCTTCATGTCTGCTTCAGGAAGCAGGCTGTGACCAGGCTGAAACAATTTGGTTTCATATTGAAAATGACAGTTTCCTCATAAACATCCCCAGGAAGTGGATGTGAACATCTGTCTCTGGGGTCTGCTGCTATCTATTACTGCAATCACTTTTACTTACAGACTGAGACCGTTAAGCAAAAACAGGAAATGTACCTTTTTTTTTTTCTTTTCTTTTTTTTCATGGATAACACCAAATTTTTAAATAACGTTTATAAATGAACAACTTTGCATTCGGAGATGATCTCAACGAGCAACACTTTCACTTTCACATCCTGGCCACATTCACATCTTGGTAAAAGGTCAGAGGTCGGATGTGTGCTAAGGAAACAAGCCGAGTTGCTGACATTGTGTCACCCAGGACGATCCAAGTTTAAAATCGGAGTGAAACATCAACGTTTGGTTTCTGCCTCTTAGAGAAGATTTCCTTTCCAGACCTGAATATTTGTGAATATTTTTCACAAATTGCCCGGAGAAAAAAATAAAATAAAGATGCTTTCCAGTTTTGTTCTGCTGGCGGCTTCCTTCACCACTTTCCTCTGCTGCGTGAGCAGCTGCAGTAAGTAAAGAGTTTTCATCTTTTTGTGCTTTTCTGATGTAAAGCAGTTTGAGCTGCCTGGTTGTCCAAGAATAAACTCTCAAGTCTGCCAGTTGCAGCAATCTTTCCTCCTGAAAGCAAAAACAATGAACCAGGAACCATTTTAACGTTGAAGAGCTCACGGCAGCAGTAGCTCGTTTGGAGAAAACGACGGCAGCATCATGTCCTCCATGATGCTGCCACAGCTGGAATGGAGCTTCGTTGTTGTCATTTCTGTTGCTTTCAGAGCCATAAATTCTTCCTCACTGAAAGAATGTCAGATCACAACAGTTTCAGCCGATGCCTTTACAAAGTGTTTTGTTTTGGGGTTGACGTGTTGTCACGCCAGAACACGTGACATGTGTGACACAGAACCTGAGGATGAGATTGGTGTTGACCGCCACGCTGTTTTTAGAAACTGATGCACTTGAATCAGGAAAACGTCACAACTTTCTTCATGATGTCTGGACTCATTTCTTTTTCTTTTTTTCTCTCTTTAATGTCTTGAGTGTATCTCAAAGGGTTGTCCTAAAATCCATCTACATTTTCCTTCATGTTCCTCAAATGTTATAACTTCACAGAGCCGTGACATCATCAACCGGGCCGTCTCCACATGATCCCAACGGACGGGCTTAAAATTGACAGTGATCAATAAACCATGCTAAATCCACTTTTGTGTCGAAATCATTTGTTTTCTTGGTTTAAAACCTAAGAAAATGTTTTCCTCTTGATTATTTTTGACGATTTCTTTGCTGAAGTCTCTGTGTGGCTTCCATGTGTTGGGCTGTGGTGAGTTTTTTTTCTTACTTCTTTATTTTTTGGACAAAACCGAATGGTGTCATTTCATTTCACGGGTTGCTAACTGATCAGCACAGACTGAAGCGGTGGAATTTCAGTCTGTAACGTGGAACAGTTTCAGAAAAGAGTAAAAAACTTTTCTCATCCCCAAAAGGAAATTCCCCGACTCAAAGCAGCTGGGCATGAAAATAAAAATCAAGTCTTCAGTTGTGATGTAGCACAGTGAACACAGAGAAGAGTTATGAAGACAAGATACTACAATATTTCATCTGATGAACTTTTTACATCAATTGAAAGCAATACCTAGGAGACGGGTGTTGAGATGCTTCTTATAAGATGCATCTCGTTTCAAAAGCTGAAAACTGCAGAATTATTTCATACTGACAGATTACAGTTTGTGAAATGTAAACCGTTTTTTGGATTTGTAACAACTGCAAAAACACATAAATCAAGCCATCAAGGTACTCAAATCTAAATTTATTTCAAAGTAGAACCTTAAATGTAAAATATGTTTTTTTATGTCTGTCCTTTAATCTCAGCAGTTTTAAAGCAACTTGCAGTATTTATAGCTTATCTCTGTTATCTTTCTCTTTGGCATCAGGTAAAATGGCCTTGCAGTTTAATTAGATCTGTAATTATGTATTTAAACAAATGCTTGAAGTTTATAAGAATAGATATTTTCAGCCAATAATGAAAAGCATGCTCAAACCTGCAAAGTATCTCACTGAGACTTGAAGCAAAAACTGAGATGTACTGCGAATGATCATATCTGGAATTGTTTCATGTTGGCATATGGCGGATTTTATATTCAATATTTACTGTGTTTATCAGATTACAGCTGTCCAGATAAACCTGTGATAACTCCATCCAGCCTGGTGGTGAAGTTCGGTGATCCAACCTCTGCTACATGTGTAGCCTGTCAGCAGGCCTGTCTTCCTTCAGATGAAAGTGTTATTAATATGGAAGCTTCTCTTGGAACTTCAGTCATAAATGGAAACACAGTGACCTGGACAGTGGAACAAATGACTGTGTGGGATTTGACTCCAAAATGCTACTATACTAATGAGAATGATCAGTGTTGCACCAACCTGAATATTACCATCTACAGTAAGTTAATTAATGTGGCCAAAGCATTTAGAGTTTTTCACCATAATACATATTTTTATGTTTAAATGTTTTAGACATTAATGTTATTGCTTGGTGTTCCTAACAGGTGTTGCTCTTATTGTTTTTATTTTGTTATTCTCTCCTGTCCAGAACCTCCAGAAAGTGTGTCCTTCAGCTTTAACCCCTCTGGACCTCTGACCGAGAGTTCAGAGGTCACCCTCCAGTGTGATGTTCTGAAAGTTGCTCCGGCTAAAAACCTCATTGTGACCTTTTACAGAGGTCAGACGTCTGTAGGTGAAATGAGAAGCAACAATACCAAGAAGGGACCAGTTAATGAGATATTTTCTTTGAGCTACAAGACCATCAAAGAAGACAATGGAGTCCAGTTCTGGTGTGAAGCCAAGCTGGACCTGGGAGCTGAAGGGCCACAGCCCCCTCTAGTGGTGAAATCAGACAATCTCACTGCTACAGTTTATTGTAAGTTCAGAGACAGACACAAATACTATATACATATACACAATTACAAAAATATGTTTTTTTCCCCCAACATTAGTAAGATATGGTCAACATTTTGTGCACATTAATAATGGAAACTCAGCCTATGCTGTGTTCAAAAATACATTCCAGCTACAGTGGATATTGAATAAACATTGCATAAGTTTCTAAGTAAGATTTTGTTTAGATGTCCCTTGAAATGTGTAACATCAAGTGTAAATGTTTATCCAATAGTAAATCTTGGTGTTTTTTCCACGTTTTGGATGATTGAATGATTCCATTTTGTTCCCATCTTTGTTGTAAAAACGCAGATGGACCTGAGCTGAAGGTTCCGGCTGATCCAGCTCCAATCAGCATCATCAGAGGAGAAACTCTCCATTTGAGCTGCTTGGGTGAAGGAAACCCCAAACCTCAGTACAACTGGACGCTGCCGTCCAACAAAGGCCACAGCAGTGAGAACGATCTGAGAATCTACTCAGTTGATTCTCAGGATGGAGGGCAATACATCTGCACCGTCAGCAACACCGTGAACTCTGTCAGTGTTACATTTGACGTAACAGTCCAAGGTGAGCTTCCTCAGGGTTAGTTTTTAAAGTTTTTAACATTCAGAGAAATGAGTCGTAGTACTTCTTCCAGTATTATTATCTAGCTTGAACTCACGTCACCCCAAGAAGGAAGTTCAACTGTTTGGGTATTTTGAATCATCTCTGTTCCCTTTTTCCCTACTTTTCGGCAGAAAACTTCATTCCGTACATAATAGGTGCCGTAGTAATTGCTGCAGCTGTGATATTGATCATCGCAGGAGTCATCTACAGTTTTTATTACAAACGGCACAAGATGGGAGAATACCGACCAAAAGACGCTCTCTGTTTGGACGCAGTGCAACACAGCAATCTTTGTTAGTAGATGGTTTCAGTGTTGTGAGAAAGTTACAGGAACTCTTTGTATCTGGAATCTGGAGGTTCCATGTTTTACACTCAGGCTGCCACGGATTACAATTATTTCCTCTTGACTATTTTTACGTTGATGGTACTTTTGAATCATCTTTGTTCCTTTTTTCTCTTCTTTTCTGCAGAAAACACCAACGCGCAGATAATACGTGGCACAGTAGTTGCTGTGGTTCTGCTTGGGATCGTCGTTGCCGCTGCAGTCTACATCCGTCACAAAACACCGTAGAAATGGGAGAGAACCAAGAGCAGGACACTCACCGTTAGGACACAGTGTGTCACAGAGGGAAGCGCTGAGGCTGCAGGATGACACTGAGTCAGCCTGCTGTTTTCTGCTGTGTTTGGTTCAAACTTATGTTCCTATTTAGCTCATTTCCTTGTTGCTAATGTTTTCCATGTCAACTAAGAACATTGTAATGAATATCTTAGAATCTCTGTACAATTTAACTTGGACTGTATATTGGTATTATGTGTCAGTGGTGGGAAACGTCTCACCTTCTGACTTAGACGCAGGATTCAAAATGACTTCCGATTCATTTTCGCCACCTTAAAACTTCTGTCTTGAAAATATCTGTCCGTTTTGTGTTGACTGAATGATCTACAACATTCTATGACATGTCAGTAAATACAGTATGTAAAGTTCGGGGTGGTTTCTTATGCTCTTTTCTGTTTAGCCCTCCCTTCAGAGTTTTTAAAAAAAATAAAATCAATAGCTGTGTTTCCATTACGAATGAATGCAAAATTTCGCAACTGCAGTGATGTCATGAAATGAAAATCACAGTTTTGCAAAATATGTTAATTGTGAAAAAACACCCTCATCTTAACGCAAAATCTATATTATCAAGTAACGTGAGTTTTTTTTTCTTCTAAACTTGTTTAATGAGTGGGATTGTTTTTTTCTAACTGTTTTCACAAATACAATTTGAAAATAATTTTTAGTTTGCGCAAGTATGCGGTCAGTGGTCAGTTGTAGCAAACAAGCGTGATGCCCTGATGGAAGAGTATCGATCAGACATTTTCCTGGAAATCACTTTGATACGTTTTGATATATTTTCTGCTCGTTTCTAAGTTCGGAGTTACAAACGGGCAATGACTAATGACCAGCAGTCGTTGCTCACTGTGGTTTAGTTTTGAACTTTTGCCCTTTGTGTGAAAAGTCCGTACCTTTCCCCCCTCTGTTCGCTTCGACTTCCTCGTACGGAGAAAACAACAAACCAGCCGTCCATATTTCAATGCTGGTATCAGTTAATCTGTGTTATATCATCTTGTGCTGTGCTCAATGTAAAACTAGTTGTAGAGAAAAATGTGACAGTGATCTGCATTGTTTCCTGTCGGCAGCTGCAAAAACTCTCCGAATCGTTGAGTCTGTTGTTGTTGTGAACAGAACCGATTCAAGCCGGCAGCCTGCTGATCGTTTGCTTTGATTACAGCCTTTGTAAAAAAGGATTTCTGTTATTTGAAGGTTCTGAATGGTTTTCTATTATCGTTGACATCTTTGTGTGAAGTCACACAGCATTTGCACCTTCTGTGCTGTGTGAATATTATCAGAGGAGCTGATGCAACTTCAGGTTAATGATCACAAAGTGAAAAGTCTTTGAGAAATTAGACAAGAAAAAAATCTGTATTTTTAATTTCTGTGCCATTACTAACGACAGAAAGACGATGAGATTCAGTGTTTGTAGTTTGTAGTTTGGGTAGACCCAGATAAAGGCAGGAAAGAATCGATGGGAATGTGCAACATTTATTTATACATATAAAATAAACAGAACTCACAAGAACTGAGACAAAGGAACAACTTAGAAGAAAACTTTTGTTCCGACAGCCTGGTGAAAAAGACGGATGTTTGGCTTTTCCTGTGAGCTTCTGCCATCTTTGTGTCTTTCCTTCAATTTTACGATGACACCAAATTGACAACAGTTGCACACTAGTGTTCAATAATTTCCCAACACATCAGCGAGCGTCCAGTGGTGACTTTTAATGAACTTCTTAACCCACAATGACTTATAGTTTCATTGAAACAGATATTTCGTATGTGTCACAAGACTGTATGATGAAATTGCGTTTTAAATAAATCAGGAGTCTCAACGGCACGGTCCAAAAAATAAATCATGAGTTGCAAGCTTACGTAACTTGTTTTTAATCTGTTAAACAATGGTGGTTGGGACATACCGTTTTTTTTTTTTATTGCCTTTAATATTAGTGAACTTTTGACATATTTGACATTATGAAAGAAACAGGGTTATTTATTTTCCAGCAGCCTAGTTCCATTTTATAGCACCATCAAGTAACTATGTTACTTTATATGTCAAATTTGACAGTGTGATTTAATGCCTTGAAATTGGGCTTCTGTCTCTTTAAGAAACTCCTGCTCCTGAGAAATGAATGGAAGCTACTGATGCTTGTCCAAAAGGATTTGCATTTTGTTGGAAGGAGTGAGAAACTGCAGCGACGACGTTCACAAATGACTAGATGATGTAGATTTTGAACTATCAGTTATGAAAATGTTATGTTTGGTCAGAGAAATGTTGTAAAACAATTAAAACAAACAAATAAATGAACAAGAACATTTGTAATTTTTATATAATTAGCGACGTCCGCTGGTTCAGCTTAGATTCTGGTCACTTTTCTCTGAAATCTTAATGACGTTACAATTATCCTGAATAAATTCACTGGAGCTTTCACTTCAGATTTTGTTTTACAGAAATGGAACTATTTCTAAACAACCCCACGTCAAAGTGCTTGCTCAGAGCGGAAAGGGGATTTTGTCGGGGAAACCCTGAGTGGAACTGGATGCCTAATATATTCATTAGTTCAGTTCCTAAAATGTCTTTCTTTACAGTGTGTTGGATTGTGTCAATAACACAATTTACGTTTTGTTCTAGAGACAAATGTGAGACTGTTTGTCAGAGAGATTTAAAGTAGATTATGGTTATAAAAAGGAGGAACAAACAGTCACTCTCTAAAAAAATGGATATAATTAAGCAGTTTTGACCTTTGACCCATGCAAAAGGAGGAAGTTGTCAGTTTCATTTATGTGAAGGGATTTTTGGACTTTTCTTCTGTATAACATTTTTTTATTAAAGTTTGAAACACATTTTACCCTGAAAGCCGCAGTTTGTAACTATTATAAAAAATTGTTTGTTTTGTTTTAAAAATTATTTTATGATAGAATAATATAAGACAGATAATCTGAAAAAAGGAGCTCCTCTGCCTTCTCCCAATGCTCCCAGTACAAAGTGCAGAAATACACCACTCAATCAGAAAGAACATCAGAGCCAGGAGGCGGGTCTAAGCGCTGCCAATCACTCTCATGCTCAGCCCCTCCCACTTGCTCTGTGCTAAGCTACAGCTGGTTCCCCACAGCATAGCCTGCCGTGAAAGCTAAGGCTAGTTAGCATGGCCACCAATGATGGCAGATAAATGTATTTTCTGTAACAATAAGTTGCTTTTCCACCATTAGCGCATTGAGGAGCATACAGGATGTTGATTGACAGCGCTCAGAACCTCCCTCTGGCTCTGATTGGTTGTTTGTGAATGGCAGTGCAACAGTTTTTCACTTGGAGGAGTTGAAAGAGGTCTTTTCCGTTGTCAAAACTTTTCTGATAGCACTTAGCTTGCTGCTGAGGTCAACAGAGTGTGAGACACAGCTTTGGGGATCCTTTTGTTCTATGAAGGCGTTTCTGTCGGACTATTAGGCGAATTTTCTGAAAAATCAATTCTTTCAACTGACAAAATCAATGTAGAGCCCCAAGACTGACGACCAGCACCAGTTGGTTTCTTGAAGGCATTGAGGTCGTTTTCACATCTTAGCATTTTGTTAAGACGCTCCTGTCTGCTGAGGGCCAGCAGACTGCCAGGACTCTGGCTTTAGTAAAGGAGCTCACATTAATCCAAAGCTTCCTCTATCACTTCCCATAAGGAAACCATGAGGGTGTATCTGGTTTATTGTATCACTGAATGTTGTTGTTCACTAATGCCTGAGATCACCGTTTCACTATTGTTTTCAACGCACATATGCTCAGAAGTCGAGTCGAACATTTTCCACATTTATTTTTTCCAAATGATTTTCTCAAGATATCATTTTCTGATGTTTTCCCATGAACTCATTGTCAAGAAAAATAAAAGGAAATTAATCTATTATCTCAAGAAACCTATCAAGAAAATGGGAAATGAACTTATTTCAAGAAAACAACTGTGAAATGAACTTGTCTCAATAAAACAGACAGGAGATTAACTCATTATCCAGAAAAGAGGGAGTTGCTCTTACACAGAAAACTTTCTGGTTAACTTCTTTGCTTCCCAGCATTTCTCAGATTAGACAGACAGAAGCTGAAAAGAACAGATAAAGCAGCTCAGAGGTAACGTCATTATTTCTCAGCTGGAAATGAGCGCAGCCTTTCGGCAATTTCTGCAACTTGTAAAGTTGAGCAACCCACGAACAAAAGGACTTTTTAACCCTCTCCAGGCAGATGTTGCAGATTTGCAACAGATCAATGCTACTTAGCAAGTCTTTGCAAGTAATTTGAGCCTGAGAGGGTTAAAGGTATTCCAAATATGCAGGCTGAAACCTACACATGTTTTAGCAAAACAATTAATGCTTCAGTTTTGTTTTGTCTTGATGTTTTATGAAACAATATTTTAAAAAAATAGTTGTGGTTGCAATTAAAATTACGTGAATAAATTTGTTCACTCGATGATTCATTAAAAACCAGCGGCGCCGTCGTCCTCCGACTACTTCCTGTCGTCTTCTTCGTCTTCGTCAGTAGCATCTTCTTGTTGACGACACCATTTAAAACGCGAAAACAAAGTCTTTCCGTTGTAGTTTAATAAATATACTAATTTTGATAAAAGCCAAAAAACCACCTGAGTCTGGCGGAAAAACTTTTTATCAAAAAGCGTGTTGCTTTTTATCCACCCCAAAATTCTGTGTTTTATGATTTTATGATTAGTGGAAACACATATGCTATCATGTTTATTTACTGTAAGGTCAGCTGCTTGATCTTCCCTTCCTGCAAGATTCTTATTGGAAATAAGAATTTGTTCTCAATAACTCAAACAGTAGTTAATACCAAGAAGCTTTTTGGCCTCATGTTGTCCTGAGTAGATGAAAAGAGGATAGAACCACTAACATGTCATGAGTGAACGAGGTCATTCGCTCAGCCAGTTTTTCTCCAGTGGCAGACATGACTAAATTTGGACATGAGGGGAAGTGACAGAGAAGCTTGTCCTGTGAAGTTGTTTACGTTCGAGCCTCTGTGCTTCACATGGAGCATTCCTGCTGCTGGGAGGCACGCCAAACTCAGACCACTAAGCCACAGCAGCTCCAGTATTCTACAACAACAGCTTGCAAAAGCATGCATACGTCTGAAAATTATCAGGAAATGGGATTTCATGAGCTAGAGCAGTGGGTCCCAAAGATTTTCTGGGCCCCGCTCTGTATTGCAATAAAATCCCTGCCAAAAATAAATAAATAAATAAATAAATAAATAAATAAATAAATAAATAAATCAACTGGGTACACACATTGTTCAACCAGACATTAACCTAGACACATATTTAATTTTCAAACTACACTGAAGTTTATTTCATACTTCTGGCTGCAACAAAACAAACCACACACCATCTTCACAGAGAAACACTTTTGTGTGACTGTTGTTTTGTTTGTTGTTTGTCTCATTCATTCATAACGCTTCGCGCGCTCCACACTTTGGGAACCACAGACCAACACAAAGTGTTACGTATTTGCAAAGCAAGAAAAATATATACACATACATTGTTTTCCAACTTAAAAAAAGTTTGAAATGCTGAATTAAAACAGTCTGCAACCTCGAATGTAAGGTTTTATTTACCTAATACAATTATCATTATTCATAAGAAGTGTGATAATCTGTAACATTCAATAGAAAATATGTAGAAAACTGATGAGTGTTAACATCCTGGAGAGAGTTCAGAACCAACATGGCTTCGGGTCAGAATGCAACTAGTTTTATGTGTTGCTATATTGACGACTTTCTTTACTGTACAGCATCTTCACACAATGTCTAAATCTGCTTCAGGATGTGCTTTGGTGGCGCAGAAGTTAATCAAAACCCACATATGGAGGCCTTAATCCTCAATGTGGTTGTTGCAGGTTCGATTCCCGGCCTGCTGGACTTTGCCTCACGTCTTCCCCCTCCTCTAATTACCCATTTTGCTAGCAAATAAAGGCCGATATAAATAAATAAACTTGCTTTAAAGTCAGTTTTTTTTTTCTTCCAACAAAATCTAAAGATAGCCACAGATTAAGACTTTAATGGCCGTGCAGGCAGCAATAATTAAATAGTATCACATCTTTAGCCGACCACACTCTGTGGTTTGTGTTACGAACCGTTCTTACTTAGACTGCTTAAATAATGAAAATTATTACATATTAGGTGCAATCAACAAACTGCTTGAAGCTGTTGTTCTGGTGTTTGACCGCAGCGTCACATGCACAGCCACAGCTGCTCAGAGACGAGTCTCTGCTTATGGACAGAATGTGCTTGGGCGTGAAAAGTGACAAAATACCACGTCTTAAATCGTCTGCTGGCTGACATTTATGTGGTATACCTCCTCCTGGGATCATTGTTTATAATAATTTAGTATAAATATGTCATAGATTAGGCCCACTGGAAGAAAAAAGAAAATTCAGGCTCATTTTTCTCCAAATTCAGAGTTTAATCTTCTGGGATCAAAAGTCGTCGTAATTTTTATTATTTTCCAGTTTCCCTAATCTTCTTCTGTAAATAAAATATTCTTTCTAGATTGTTATTTTTTGTAAAGCATTCGGCATAAAAAGTCACAGTATGTGAGTGGTCCATGCTGCAGCTAAAATTTCCCATAACATAATGCAGAAGTGATAAAAGGAAGTTCAGTTTTATGTATGCAACCAAACATCCCCTCCCCCCATGTAAAGCCTAAGTTTGACTTTTATTCAATAATTGCCATTCATCAACATGAACCTGAATATATAATAATGCACGCTTCTCCCTTGTAGTCATATAACTATTTGCTGTAAAGCATCTAAACAAAAGCTGATCAGATTACTGTTCAATAGCTAAAGATTTCTGTTCTCAGCATTTAGCTTCAGTAACATGGAGCTCAAAGCACAGTAAGGTTTATACAGTTCTGACTGCCAGATGACTCGTCCTTTCTATCAAGGCTGTTGTTTTTCCACTCCGACTTTCTTTACTGTACAGCATCTTCACGCAATGTCTGCATTATTTCTTTGAGCTGTTGTGAAAATGCTGCACGACACATTTTCAAATGACTCAGAATGCGCTTCAGTTATTTCTATTCATGTTGCTCCTCGCATCGCGGCGATATTCACACCTTCAGCTGGTGAGAATTACGCAGTCAAATCAAAAATAACTCTTTATATTCAGTCACTTACTAACCTTGACTTAAGAAGGGTATTTCTGCTTCTGAGCTGAAATAACCCTGACCTTTTTGTAGAAACAAACATCAGTAAAGGTGACCTAGCGATAAAGTGGAGCGTTTTCAGGAAGCATCATTTGGAGTGGCCTCAAAGACAAATAGGCACACAAGTAAAGGTGGTGTTTAGCAGACAAAAAAATAAAAAAATTAAAAAATGAGGACAGCACTTCGTTTTGATAAACAGAGGAAGGACTGTTAGGAAACACACAGAGGGAAGTTTAGTTATATTGCAATTCAGAAATGACTTCCTTTAAAGTTTCTTGAACATAAAAACATGGAGAACTTTCAGACATGTTTGGTTTGAGACTCAACAATTTCTTAAAAAGATGGTGCGATGTATTTTCCAGGCACATATAGTGACATTTTTAGTAGTTGATAGCTTCAGTTGTAAAAATGCTGAAAATGTCAAATATTTAACTAAAAGAAATGTAACTTTGTAATTAATCTGTTGAAATTGGGCAACTGTCTTTTTAAAAACTCCGCCTTCAGGACATCATCACAACATGGCTCCTCTTTTAACCCTTTAACAACGTTTTTAACCAGCATTGCACTGAGAAATAGTTCCTGTGACAAACTCTGCAAATGTGGAGATCAACAAGGTGTTTGCTAATTTCTGCTGGCTAGTCTGAAGGAGCTGAGTGTGGCAGAAACATGGAAACTGTGACTTAGAGGAGGAGCTGTGCCTCAAAGGCGGAGCTATGTCCACCCAGGCATTTTGCACAGCTGAATGGTTGCCACGGGAGATTCAAGGATTCTTCAAACATGCATAAAAGAATCAAAGCAAAACTCTAATTATGCTGTTGATCAGGGAATCACACTATAACTTTGGGTTGAGTTCACATAATCCTGCACATCTTCTGAAAATGTGAATACAGTGGTGGTTTTTGATATGTGCTACATGGGCAATTTCTTTCTGCTTCATAATAATTGCTTGCATTTTAATTGGTTGGAGAGCAGGAGAAGGAGGGGCTTGTCCAGGTCACCAGTCCTGCAAGAAAATGCAAGCACATTTATTTTTCAAGCTTTGGAAGTCAGGCATGGTAATAAATCGTGAGGAAACTGATTTTTTATTTTTGTATTCGATTGCCAGCAATGTTCCATAAACAAATGATGAGGTTTATGGTTTGAATTTGAACCCACTGCTGATGAAGTGGGTTCATCAGCTCTTCAGAAACAGTGAAGTGTTTTTATGTTTGAAGCTGCTTGAACTTCAGCTGCTTTCATGCACGGCCATATCTTCTTACAACGCCAACAGGGTGGAGATGAAGCAAAGAAGCAAAAGAAAACTTGTAGGAATGAAATGGATGTTGTTTTTAGACCCACCAGGCAATGCTGACCGAGTCTGTAAATATATCATCCACTTCAAGCCACCGCTGATTGCGCCATTAGAAAATGTCATCAGTGTTTTACTTACACTGTATTAGTATGAGCCAGCATTCATCAGTGTCAGGTCTCTATCCAAATATTTTTTCCACATGACAAAAACGTTTTCCACCTTCTGGGAAGATAGAAAACAAACGGACTAACGTAATTTAGTCTACTTTCTTATCCTTTCAGGAGGACAGACAACTTGTGATTGGATTAGACCAATCAGGCCGATAAGAGCAGACTCATGAACACATTCCCCTCTGCTGACAGTACCGGGATTTCCCAAAACGCGTAATCTGTGTCCCTCTGAAACACGGCCTCCAATTCCACTTTCAATTTCAGCTTCTTAAAGCGAAACGCCGCGGTGGGAAACTACAGAAGTTTCTTTGCGCCTCCCTCCTCGCGCTGCGTCTCGTGAGTGCGAAGCTTTTTGCGTTTTCACTTCAACTCCGCCGTCGGGCTTTTCTCCACCTTTTTCTGCGACCGGAGAGTCGATCTGAAAACTCGAGGGTCAACATGTTCCCCTGCCTGTTTCTGCTGATTTCTTTCCTGAATGTGCTGCGGTGGCTCCATGTGTCCGCGTGCGGTGAGTTTCCCGTCACGCGCCGGGATTTGATCCTCCGTCGGTCAAGGATGGAAAAGTTCAGGATGGTGGCTGCTTTCCCCCACTTGATCGCTTTCAGCTTCCCATCGTCAGTGCCAGTCTGTAAACAAGAATCCGTGGATCGAGTCGTTCATGTAACGGGGATCAGGGTCCCGTTATTCCCGCTGTTAGATCTGAACGTGTTTTTTGTTGTGTTGTTAGTGAGATCCGGCGTTTGCTTTGACGTAGGTTTGAATCCAAAGAGTTATTCTATCACCTCAGATAAGATAACTGAATTTTGCTTTGCATAAAAGAGCAATAAATAAATAAATAAATAAATAAAGTCAAACAACTGAGAAAAACATTATCGGCAGCAGCTTTAATAAAACCTTAACCTCTGAGAATACTTTCTATTATTGAAGGTTTAGATCACAGCTTGTGGGTCCAAATAAGGAATTTGACTTTGGTCATATTCTTACTGACACATAATTAGGTAAGTCTTTTTTTTTTTTTTTTGGCAAAAGTGATGTTGGAACAAAAAAAAAAAAAAAAAGATGTCTCCGGAGCCACTCTTTAACATGTTAAACCTGATGAATCCTGGAAATGTCTTGTTTTCTTGGAATGCCATCAGAAAAAACTAATTTTATTGATGTAGTAACTTGGTTGTCCAGTATATCGAGGAAGTCTCATGACATCAACTATAGCATCCATAGATCATAGTACTGATCCCACATGCTTGTACAATAAGCACTGGGGAAGATGGACACACCACTTTATCTGGCTCTCTTCTTACCCTGATGCGGCAAAACACTGGAGAGTGTTTAATATTTCATTACTTATCTCAACTCAAAGATTGCATCAGTCAAATCTTTTGATCTTTTAAAGACTTTGTTGGCCCTAGTGGCCTTTATTCCAGAGTGGTCAGATGGGAAAGTGGGTAAACAGAGAAGAGGAAGATATGTGGCAAAGGTCATCAGACCGGGATCTGAACCTGTGATGGCCGTGTTGAGGACTGTGGCCTCCTTATGTGGGTTGTGTTTAACTTCTGGGCCGCTACAGCGCAAGAGTCCAGTCTTTATGCTTGCTTCCAAATGCAATTTTTCTTTCTCCAGTCAGCCTCCCTGATTAGTGGTTTTCTTAATGGCTACGAAGCTTTTCTGTGGGAACCTTCAGAGTTCTCTTCACATGATGCCTGTGGAAATACTTTTACTTTTACTTTGAAACACAACCCTGACTTCTGTTGTTTCGCTGAGACTTGATTTCACTAAATGTTTAAGAGATTGTTGATCATTATTAATTTATTTTCTCCAAAGGTGACGGTTCTTCACTGTCCTTCCAGTTGGACCGTTCTTAACTCGGTTTTGTCATTCTGTGTCTCCTTTAGACCATCTCTCTGTTTACCACTTGCCAATGCTCTGATGACTCTCAAACTAACATATTTGTCACAATCAGCTGACTCTTGTGAAACATGACCTCTGAATAACGTCCTATGATTAACAGACTATGTATTGGAGTTGCATATCCAGACATCCTCAAGATTAAACCAGGAATATTAAAATGTGCTCAACTTTTCATGCGTCAGATCAGAGGCAGAACCAAGGATTTTATTTGAGCTAACAGTCGTGTTTTGTACTGTGGCAGTAAGATGGAGTACATTTTTTTTTGTTGACATTTTTAGGTACAAAACTCCCAATTTACAGAATTTTGAAATGAGGAAGGGATGAAATGACCTGCACCTGCAACTGATCCTTTGTCATCTTTCTTTACGAAATGATGTTTTTTCAAAAAAGCCTGCATGTCCTTACGTTTTACAATATATTTAGATATATAATGTGAATTTGAACTATAATGCTTAAGAACAGTAGTCCTTTTTAAGTACCACAAACAGTCATTTTATCTTTGATTTTGGTCTTTTGATACTAGATAATTGGGCTGCATGACATTAGGATTGTGATATTATTGCTTCCAACAGGAGCCTATCGTCTTTGTCTGATATGATCATCTGCTGCAGCGAGATGCTGTCTTTATATCATTTATAAATAAGATTCAATCTTTTTATTTTCTGGAGTGAAAAAAATGATCTTGGGCTAGAGTAATGAAATGGTTCAGTTCATAGGTACCAAATAGAAGAGTAGCAACTCACAGAAAGGCAACTTGCTGCAATGAGCAACACCAGCATCAGACAACCTGAAGACATCAACAACCTGGAAGCAAAGCAAAGACTTAGAGAACAATGATGACAAAATAAATGGTGAACGAGAGCGTGCTTCACATTACCTTGTGTCAATGAGGTCGCTTAGTCAAAATCTAAATGATATTAGGCAGAAGAAAAGAGCTTCCAGAATCTAGATCATATTTATACATAGACAAAAATTTCAGGTTTCATCCAGCATTTCTAAGACCAGATCGAAGGTACTGATTGTGTCTGGGTTGAATAAAGTTAAATATAAAAATAACATACCAGTTAGTAGCACTATCTAAATATTAAAATGGTGATTAAAAAGCTCTAAGTTCCTAAGAACTTTATCCTAGATAAATTATATATTTACAAAGGCAAATTTTATTGTGTTTTGAATTCTGAGAATGCAAATGTAATAATATTATTATCCATGTTTTTCTCAGATTACAGCTGTCCAGACAAACCTGTGATAACTCCATCCAGCCTGGTGGTGAAGTTCGGTGATCCAACCTCTGCTACATGTGTAGCCTGTCAGCAGGCCTGTCTTCCTTCAGATGAAAATGTTATTAATATGGAAACTTCTCGTGGAACTAAAGTCATAAATGGAAACACAGTGACCTGGACAGTGAAACAAATGAATGTGTGGAATTTGACTCCAAAATGCTACTATACTAATGAGAATGCTCAGTGTTGCACCAACCTGAACGTTATCGTCTACAGTAAGTTAATTAATGTGACCAGAACATTTTAGAGTGATTTTTATCCATTGTTGTTACCATTGACATTTTTTTATGTCCAGCATTTTCAACATGAATGTTGTTGTTTGCTGTTATTAATCATTACTGTTCTTTCTATTTTTGTTCTTGTCTTCTCCCCAGAACCTGCAGAAAGTGTGTCCTTCAGCTTTAACCGCTCTGGACCTCTGACCGAGGGTTCAGAGGTCACCCTGCAGTGTGATGTTCTGAAAGTTGCTCCGGCTAAAAACCTCATTGTGACCTTTTACAGAGGTCAGACGTCTGTAGGTGAAATGAGAAGCAACAATACCGAGAAGGGACCAGTTAATGGGACATTTTCTTTGAGCTACAAGACCAGCAAAGAAGACAATGGAGTCCAGTTCTGGTGTGAAGCCAAGCTGGACCTGGGAGCTGAAGGGCCACAGCCCCCTCTAGTGGTGAAATCAGACAATCTCACTGCTACAGTTTATTGTAAGTTCAGAAATAGACACAAATACTATATACATATACACAATTGCAAAAATATGTTTTTTTCCCCAAGATACGGTCAACATTTTGTGCACATTAATAATGGAAACTCAGCCTATGCTGTGTTCAAAAATACATTCCAGCTACAGTGGATATTGAATAAACATTGCATAAGTTTCTAAGTAAGATTTTGTTTAGATGTCCCTTGAAATGTGTAACATCAAGTGTAAATGTTTATCCAATCATCCACGTTTTGGATGATTGAATGATACCATTTTGTTCCCATCTTTGTTGTAAAAACGTAGATGGACCTGAGCTGAAGGTTCCGGCTGATCCAGCTCCAATCAGCATCATCAGAGGAGAAACTCTCCATTTGAGCTGCTTGGGTGAAGGAAACCCCAAACCTCAGTACAACTGGACGCTGCCGTCCAACAAAGGCCACAGCAGTGGGAACGATCTGAGAATCGACTCAGTTGATTCTCAGGATGGAGGGCAATACATCTGCACCGTCAGCAACACCGTGAACTCTGTCAGTGTTACATTTGACGTAACAGTCCAAGGTGAGCTTCCTCAGGGTTAGTTTCTAAAGTTTTTAACGTTCAGAGAAATGAGTCGTAGTACTTCTTCCAGTATTATTATCTAGCTTGAACTCACGTCACCCCAAGAAGGAAGTTCAACTGTTTGGGTATTTTGAATCATCTCTGTTCCCTTTTTTTTCTTCTTTTCTGCAGAAAACTTCATTCCGTACATAATAGGTGCCGTAGTAATTGCTGCAGCTGTGATATTGATCATCGCAGGAGTCATCTACAGTTTTTATTACAAACAAAACAAGATGGGAAAGTACCAGCTAAAGGATGTTTTCCGTTTGAGCCCAATGCATCCCACTACAGTTCCTCTTTGTTAGTGAAATCAAATCCTCTGGAAGGAGTTAAAGATTCGCTGCAGAGCCTCTGATCTGAGTCAGGTTGGTGCTGCTGCAGGTTTTTCCTTTTCCCGTCATGGACATGAAATACATTCCACTTTTTGAATGGAAATATTCGCTTCCTCCTAGATGGTTTCAGTGTTGTGAGAAAGTAACAGGAACTCTTTTTATCTGGAGGTTGCATGTTTTACTCAAACTACAATGGATTACAGTTATTTCCTCCTAACTATTTGTACTTTGTTGGATTCTTAATGATGAAGGTAAAGGGACACAGTCATTACCAAAACTGTCAATCCAATGTGAAAACTCATAGGAAATTGTTTATAGTTTGAACTAAGCTCTCATGCCTAACTTGTTCCAGTTAGATTTTTTATAAATACATAACTCATGATGTCTCGCACCACTTACCATATTTATTTTTGTGTTTCGTTGCTTACCATTTGCAAGCTCGCCTATTACCTCTGTTCCTTTATGCTCTGCTAAAATGTATTCTAATGCAACTGAACTCTTAAAAAAGTTGCTCTCATTTGCATGCTTTAGTGAGCTGGACGTCAGAAAGCAACTTTTCTTATCAAGAATAAGTTCTTTTGTTGTTGTTTTTACTGTGATCACTGTAATGCACTACAGGACTGTTGCTATGCTTTGATTAAATCAGCTGGCAAAATGCCACAGACAAAGTCTGTGCTTTTATTTAAGGCCATATTTAACTCTGTGATGGTGCAACAGCAATGCTGGAAGTGACTAAATACATCCGGTGGGAATTTATCTCCCTGTCTCTGCTGAATTTCCACATTCTCACTTCTTGTCTGCTTCTCATTCAGAGGTCATTGTATCGGGAACAGTTTACCATCAGCATTGAAAATGGTAACATCTTAATAGTTTCTAATTCCTTGGTGAAACATCGGCTGAAATAAAAATAAAATCTGAACACTGAGGTATCCCAGCCCACTCTGTTGTGGCGAATTAGTTTTCTCTGCTATGCAAATTCATGTTTTTCTTGTTTATAGTCAGAGAAATTCTGCATAGATGTCTATATGTGGCAGGAATCATTCATTTTAATTTCGCTGTCTTTTAAAAATCACAAGCAATTCGTTCATGGAGACGGGTTGCTGTTTACAATGAGGTGGGAGCTAAGAGTCAAAGCGCATATGTGTTTCTATTTCATGCTAAAATCACAGCGCCTTATAGTGGCCTGGAGTGACAACTACAGCTGACTCGGTATCCGCGGTGTGGAACTTTTTCCCAATCAATATCCAAAGATACCGGAAGTGTCCAGGTGGCGGTCTTGCATAACCGTACTCTATGTTTAGTTCAAATGGTTAGGATATGAGTTACGGCTCAATTTCAGTCATATGATACAAAAATGATCAAATTCAGATTTCATTCCTCATAAAAATTTTTTTTTTTCTATAAAAAGTGAAAATTTAGCGTCCTGCTGGGTATTTGGAACAATTTATGATGCCAGAGCGCTTGTGAGCATTTTGATTATTATTCAGATAAAAAAAAAGTGTATTTATATCTGAATTATTGTTATTTGACTTGTAGGTAATTTGAGAGGGAGTGTGAAAAGGAGAGGATTCATTTGATGAAGACCTTTAACCCTCTATTCACTTACGCGATTTTCTGGTTCTTTCAGAGGTTGCTGTGAATTTAAACATTTATATGGATTTTCTTTTGCTTTTCTTGTGAGAGTAATGAATAACAAAACAGTGCCGTATTGAGCAGATATGGTGACACAGGGTTTTAAGTTAAAGTGAAAGGAAAAATACTTCTGGAGCGTTTAAGAACTTCACACTGTTTCATTGTGGATGTGTCTGTGCATGAATCTTTATAGCTTTATTTAGAGATATGAAGTCAAAGTGTTCTCTGAACGTCAGTACCACTTGTGAAATCACTGACTGTTATTTTCACTCACATACAAATGAGTCAAAACACCATTTTGTGCAGGAAATATAAGCTTTTGTTCAACTTTTGAAACTGTAAATAAAGTGCCATTTTCTTAAAAAAAAAAAACATGCTTCCTTTTTTTTTTAGTTATTCTTAGTATTTTGTTTAAAATGGTTTGGTTTATCAGGAAGTAAATGACTAATAGATGTGCTCATGCTTCACAGTGAAAACATGAGGTACTTACTGTATTAGCAGAAATTTTTACCAAAGTTCCAACAAATACCAGAAAGGGAATTTCAGAAATCCTTGGGAGGACTTAACTGAAAGCAGAAGGTGCAGTGAGGGCATTCATTCCCAGAAACAGTTTTCTCCTCCCATTCCTGTACTTTTATATTCTGCTAAGAAAGAATGCTGTGCTGGAATGTGTGTGTGAGTGGGATGTGTGTGTGTGTGTGTGGTGTGTGTGTGTGTGTGTGTGTGTGTGTGCGAGCGTACGTGTTCTGAATGACCGTGCTTCTTAAGTCCTCATCTTGTTAACCACAGCTTAAATGAGGCTTGAGCAGAAACTAATTCACATATCAGGCTTTGAATCAACACATTATCTCAGGTCCTTTTAAACGGATCTATCATGCTTCTGTCCAAACACGGCTTTGCTGCTGCGGCACACTCAACACTTGAGAATCAAAGTGGAGGGGAGTCCCATTCTGCTAAATGGTGTGTGTCGCTATCTTTGGACGATTGCCTCTCTGGTGGGTGGGCTGTGGCTGGGTATTATGTTGTGGGGGGGCCGTTATCATTGACATCAGTCCTTGACTTCCCTGAAATCAGGGAGATTTAGGTCCTGGTTTAATGCTCGTAAAAATTGGCGTAAAAGTTAATTTGGGCAAACTTGGGTGTTCTCTTTCCATTATTTGTTTACTTTGAAGCTACACTTCCTGTTTGTGTCACTTGTAGGTAGTGTTGGGCAGTTATGATTACTCACTTAAACTTACTTGAGTAACTTTTAATAATCCAAAAATTCGTTTTTAGGATTATTTTTACAGAGCTGCATTTTTTTATGTTCACTTGAGTAACTTTATTATATCGCCACTTCAGCAGGTTCAAAAGATGTCTCTTAAAACTAGTTTTTGTTAGGAATAAATAATTGCTGTTTTCCCCTGTCTTTGAACTGCTTGCATGTATTTACATACACAGCTAAGGTTAAAAGAAATGACACACTAGGAATCGCCCTCTTTAGGGCATAGCTTAGAAACAGGCCTAAAGGAAATTGTTAGGTCCTGTTTTGCTGTGTTATTATGACAATAATTATGTGGTGAAATAATTACAATTTAATAAAAGGAAAAAAGGTGCATCTTTGCACCTTTCAGTCTTAAACCAACAAAACCTGACAAGGTGCAGAGTTGCGTGCTCAGAATGTAGGTGTTAGGATTCAGTTTTGTGTCAAGTGTGAGTGCTCTGTCTGTAGAGGATCTTTGTGGGATTGTCCCAGAAGGCTGTCACACCTGCAGCTCATTTCAGAAATTGGCTGCTGGATTTTTAATGGATGGTGGAGCAGTTTGTTGTTCGATGGTCCAACTTGTTGATCTGGAGGAGATTTGAGAATCAAACCTGGAATCCCATCCAGACAAAGATGGCATCTTCACTGTCCAATGATTGCTCCTCACCCGACTGGGCTCCGGACTCCACAGTCTGGCCGCTCTCCCCCCATTTCCACCTCAGAGCCTCCGTTGCACATACCTGGATTCACACCTCTCTGTCAGCGCCCAATCCACCTACGAGACTGTAAGCTAGCTTCTCCCTGCACTGATCCATCAGATCCCTTAACCCCAAATTCCTCTGCTTGTATCGGACTGCCAGGATTCCAGCCTTGTAAAAGTTCCTAGCTTAGGGTTTACCTGGGACTGAAGACATTTTCAACCCTGTTATTGTATTTTAAAAAAACAGATTTTTTTTAATCCCTTTGGGAATAAAGTGTCTAAAACTCAAATGGTTTCTGTTCTGACTTATTACTTTCCACTTGTTTATGAACTAGTTGGTTCCTCCAGGCCATATTAGCATGGAGTTACACATACACACATTAGGGTAAAGGAAATGACACTTTGGGCAGTGTTCTCTTTAGGGGGTAGCTTAGATAAAAACCTGTTGCCAAACTGTTGTTTGACAGTATTTTGCTGTGTTGTTCCATAAAGAAACATGGTGATGGACCAGAGCTGCTTTTTGGTCTTAATAGGTGATTATTTAAACTCGTTGACTCTTCTAGAACCTCATACATTATGAACGAAGCTGGAGAGGGAATCATCTTGAACAATATAATTTAACTCTTCCTCCACTGTTAGAAGACCAAATTCTATCGTATTAAAACAAACATGGATTAGATTTGCTTTTCAATATCCACTTTCGAAAGTCTTTCTAAAAACATCTTTAAAAAGTTGTATTGTCTCAAAATCTCAGTCACAAAATGCACAGGAATATTTATTTTGAATTTCTTTTCAAGAAATTACTTATAATTGTGAAAATTTTTCTAAAAACATGAATGAAGGTCCAATTGTAAAAACATGTATTGTCTCAAAATCTCAGTCACAAAAGATTTATTTTTGAATTTCTGTTTCAGGAAAAACTTTGTACATAACTATAAAAATAGCATCTTAAATATTTTGTGGGACTGAAATATCTTTAGAGACATCTTGATTTTAAACAGTTGTTGTAGTTCACCCATTTTCCCCTCTGAGCACCACCGAGGTCCATTTATCAATCCCTAGACCCAACTGAAACCCCAGGTTCATTACTTTGAGAAATGATGAGATTTGGTCAAATATGAAACAGACTTTAATGCAGGAAATCAATCAATCAATCAATCAATCAATCAATCATATTTATAAAGCACCCATCATACTAAAAGCAGCTCAAAGTGCTGTACAGATCAATACTAAGAAACCATACGCATGAAAAATGCACAAACTAAACAGAAATTATTCAATTCAGCAAATGCAGTTAAAATGATGGGCTTTGAGCCTGCTCTCAAAGACAGCAACATTTTCATTATCCCTCAAGTTCTCTGGCACACCGTCACACACAGTACTGGGAAGAAGCCTCACAAGTGTGTGTTCTGACTCTTGGACCTGTTAATAGTCCGGTGCCACATCAACTCAGTGCCTGCAGGGGTTCATAAGGTAAAAGCAGCTCTTCAAGGTATGATGGTTCAAGACAATTAAGACGTTTATAAACCAGTAAAAGAATCTTAAAATCAATCCTGAGATGTACTGGGATGTTATAAGTCACAAATAGAACAGATAAGAGTATAACATTGATCGTGCAGCGCTCAGCTCCACTCAGCTCACCTTAGGGCTGACTCCAAGTGAAGCAAATCTTATAGCACAAGTTCAGCTTTATTTTCTCCTCATACAACTTCCTCTCTAAGGTGTTGGTCTGCCCATAATGACGTGTTGCTGTTTGTATGTCACAGACCATGGAGGTGTTACCAAGGCCCAAGGTTGAATGTATCCACTGTCTAAGCTATCGTCCCTGCACACTTTCTCGAACCACGAATGATAGATGTCTTCATTTCATACGGAAACATTTTACTCGAAGTGTATCAGCTATCTGTGTTTTTCGTCCTTTCAAACTACCTCAAATTGGTTCCTGAACTGCACAGAGCTCTCCTGACATCTCTTCTGACCTAGTACATCAAACAACAGATTTGATTATAAAGATTAGCATTTAAACTCTTATAAAGCAGACATGAGCAGTTTCAATACCAAAATATCTGTTACACTCAATATTTTCTGATTAGTTTTCTACTTCTTTGGTTATAATGATATATACACTCTTAAGAATGGGATCTAATACAGCAAACTACTGATTAGACTCATTTAAATCAAATCATGATCATTATGTCTAGGAAAAAGTTCTACTGATTAAGTTATGTATTGATTCTAAACTGAGGCCTACTCAAAACAGTCATGATCCATCCAATATTTCAACATGCGCTAAAGTTAAACATCATTAAAACTAGCTTAATTAAACTAATATTTCCAACACTGTGAAACATGATTTGTAAACCATAAAAAGAACATTTGTGTGTAACTCCAGTTACTGGTAAATATGTGGTTAAATGCAATGACAAGTATGAAGAAATTATGAATATAACATAAAAGTACACACACAATTACAATTTCTACAAACATTAAATTTCTACACACAAACATTTTAACTACAACCTCAAATCTGATAATTACAAATTTATTACCTTCTCCCATCTCTACATGTGTTAAGAATGCATGAGTCGCCTGATGCACACAGACAAAACTGCATTTACAACTCAGATCCGGTTACCAGTGCACAAGGATTTTTGAGACTCATTTCAGCTTCAGGACAGACTCATATTTGTGCGCAGGTGGTGCGTTTAAATGCTGGTGGAAAGCTGGGTCATATGATTTTTGCTTGGAGTCCAATGTATTAATCTTCTGAATGTTTGTCACAGTGTTAATGGCTAAGTGGCAAAGATGTTATTTAGTTGGAAAACAGAATATTTCAGTACTTCTTTATAATACCCCAAAATTGTTTATAGATTGTGTATTGTGCATTTTTGAGCAATAAAGATGAGATTACATGGTTTAAAAAATTATCACTGTGTGGCGTAATGATTCGTTGGCTGGAACAAGTCATTCTGGAACGCCTTGTCTTGTGTCCCGGTGGTCTTCTCTCCGAAGTAAGTAGAATTTAAATGTGCAGGTTTTGCTCTCTGATTATAATGAGACATGGATTAATTCAGTGGCGGAGCTAGACTTTTTTTCAAGGGGTGGCCAAAGGGTGAGCAAGGCTTTATCAGAGGGGTCCATATACAAATGAACGAAAGGAAAAAATATGTGTTTCCTTTCGTTCAAAATTAATTAATAAAACTAGTGAGGTTATAATTCAAAGCTTTCATATGACATAGCCTACTTACATTTCAGTCATTATTAAACTTAATGGTTTTTCACATATTCTTACCACACATTTCAAGCAAGAGCTGGGAGATATAAAACATTAGAGGGCAGCATGTGCACTAAAACATATGTTAAAAGAATCAGTCTAAAACACGATCTATCAGCACTAGCATGGCTAATATAATAAATGAGGGACTACGCAGCGGTGCACAACCATTTTTCTTTTTAGAAATGTATGACAAGTGCCGCCTCTCGTTAGGAAGGTAACATTGGTTACCGCTGAGCGGTAACATGTTGTAAATACCTGCAAAACTCCTAGACGGTGTAACTCTAAAGCCACGGATGTGTTTTGGATCAAGAAGGACCCACGTCAGTTTAACCAATGAACAGCGTCGGGCATCGGGCTGCCTTCAGGGATAGTCGGAAATTACAGTTTTCCTGGCAAATCTTTGCCGATCTCATAAGTATTATATTTTAAAATGACCATTTCCAGTGGGGTGGCAGTAGGGGTGGCAAGGGCTCTGTTGGGGGTGGCAAGTGCCACCCTGGCCACCCCTTTGGCTCCGCCACTGGATTAATTATAAATAATTTCAGATTACGTTTTATATCTCTAGTAGTTGTCCAAATATCTGTTACTGGGAGATAATGTCTATATGAGCTCCTAGTCTCAGTTCATGGTTGTGTATTAACCCTAATTGTTTTCCTTATCCACAACATGTATTCACAAACATCCACGATTAAAGCTGGTGTCCGACATGCATGGTCTTCTCCAATTTCAGAAATCACACCATAAATTTTCGTTGTGTAGATCACTCCACCACCAGTCACCCTGTAGATAAATTTATATCAAAATATTTATTCATGTTGTAAAACAGAAAAGTCTTCTAATCACTGTAGAGAGATACTGAAGAGACAAACTTACAAGACATGAATCTTTGTTCGGTGCTTCAATGAAGAACACATGCCCATGTGGCGGCATGAAGTAAAGAGCAATAACTTTCATGTCGACACACTGAAGATGTGGTGGAACAGAAGCACTGAGTACTGGAGAGAAAAATGAGAATGACAAGTGTTCTTCACTTGACATTCATTCTTCATTCGTACAGATAGAAACAAAGATTTTATTCTCATAACTTCAATATTTCTCACATCGCCGATTACTGGGGCCGGTTGTCATTCCTCCCTCTCCTGCCAGCTGAACTGTAGCACCACTGAAGCACATTTAGGATAAATGCCAAATGTCATAGTAACGTTGGTAAAGATGACAATGTAGAAAATGAATCATTAGAAGGAACAATGAAAGAACAGAAAATAAATCCATAAAGGTTATCATAAACTGACAAAGGAGTATCAACCCCCAGTCCTCAGTGACGGTGTCCTGCATTCTTTCATGTGTCTCTGGTCCAACATACCTGAGCTAAACGCGTTCTGGTTCTGCATGTGGCCTGATTACCTGACCCAGATGTGCTGAAGCAGAGGCAGCAGGACCGGAGAAGTGGCAACAGAACATTTGAAGTCATGTCAAAGAAAGGCTTACATTTTAAGACGATTGTTGCATCTTGGTAGCCGAGCAGGATGGATATTTCTTACTGGTCTCTGAAGCTTCAGCAACATGATGTCAGGCTCCAGATGTCGTTGGTCAACATAAATCACAGGATTGTTTCGGATTATCTGTTTCACCTGTTGAGCAGTCCGTGGATGAACTCCTAACTTTACTATGTTAGTCCTGCAGAACAGGTTGGATTATAAGGTTGGATAAGAAAACTTGATCATCTGGAGATAAAACTGTCTCAATGGCTCTTTCCTACCACCCTTGGTCTGACTTCCAGCAGTGAGCTGCAGTCAGGATCCACTCAGGGTGGATCAGAGATCCTCCACACACACTCGTATGAGTACCATTGTCGCCCTCCAGCCGAACATGATAAAGATGCTCTTTGTCATCACAGTCATGACCTCCAATGATTCTCTTCTGTAGAGAAACATGTGAGTTCATTGAAGCACCTGAAGAAGAAAAAGGAGGACTTTACTCAGAAATTGGGTCCAAACATGGCTGCTGGAAGAGAAAAAGGATAAACAGTTACAGATTAAAAATCATCACAATTTATATACAATGAAGTTTATGTCTGACACAGAATCAGAGGGAAGTTTGAGAGTCACAGAGAGCAGCAGGCTCCCTTGAACCAGTAGGAAGCGTCTCCAGTTTTTCCAGTGTGTCCGACTCACCCAGCCCGAGCAGCAGCAGAACCTTCAGCAGAGCCATTGCTGGTCCAGCTTCCTGTGAATATCTGCAGTCCTGCAGCAGCTTCTAACCTCTGTTCACAATTTCCTGCTGGACAGGAAGCCACCAATCACAGGAGGAACACTGATCTGTCCTTGAACTGGAGTTGTAGCATAAGCACTGAAAAACCGGAATGACAGTTGACATTTTTGTTTTCATGTTATACATTAGCTGATTAGGCACAGCTCTATAGAACTGGGTTGACATAATTTGAGATTTGCTTTTCTTTTGTTTGTTATTAAATATTACTTTGTATCCTTAATTTGTGGTGCTACTAATTTGGTTGCATTTGTTTTTGTATAAGTCTCAGATTGCTCCTATAAGAATTCACATCTGCCTTTGCTCCTGAAAGTAGAATCATTTTATTTGTTGACGAGCTGTGAAAATGACCCTCTAAACAAAAAGAAAAGGGTTTGCTTCTTTTATTAGCAAATAGAACAATATTACATTGCTGGGTGGTGAAGAGCATTTGCATTTATTGTAAATGAAAAATTACAACAAAGAATTAAAAATTAAATTAAAACTCACAGAAATTCATCCAATTAAATAAAAACAATTCACATTTAAAAGGAATCTATGGTAAAGATTTCTTTACAAAAGATTGGTGGTGGTTACCAGGGTAACCATCGATGGTTTTGTAAAGAAAGCTTTACAATAGATTTACCACTGATGGTAACCACTGATGGTAACCACTGATGGTTACCACTGATGGTTACCGGTGATGGTAACCGCTGATGGTAACCACTGATGGTAACCACTGATGGTAACCAGTGATGGTAACCAGTGATGGTAACCACTGATGGTAACCACTGATGGTAACCGCTGATGGTTACCACTGATGGTTACCGCTGATAGTTACCACTGATGGTAACCGCTGATGGTAACCACTGATGGTAACCACTGATGGTAACCACTGATGGTAACCACTGATGGTAACCACTGATGGTAACCACTGATGGTAACCAGTGATGGTTACCACTGATGGTATCGCTGATGGTTACCGCTGATGGTAACCACTGATGGTAACCGCTGATAGTTACCACTGATGGTTACCACTAACTGTTACCACTGATAGTTACCACTGATGGTAACCACTGATGGTTACCACTGACTGATGATTACCACTGATGGTAACCACTGATGGTAACCGCTGATGGTTACCACTGATGGTTACCACTGATGGTTATCGCTGATGGTTACCACTGATGGTAACCACTGATGGTTACCACTGATGGTTACCGCTGATGGTAACCGCTGATGGTTACCGCTGATAGTTACCACTGATGGTTACCACTGATGGTTACCGCTGATGGTAACCGCTGATGGTTACCACTGATGGTTACCACTGATGGTTACCACTGATGGTAACCACTGATGGTTACCGCTGATGGTTACCACTGATGGTTATCACTGATGGTTACCACTGATGGTTACCGCTGATGGTAACCGCTGATGGTTACCACTGATGGTTACCACTGATGGTTACCACTGATGGTAACCACTGATGGTTACCACTGATGGTTACCACTGATGGTAACCACTAACTGTTACCACTGATGGTTACTGCTGATGGTTACCACTGATGGTTACCACTGATGGTTACCGCTGATGGTAACCACTGATAGTTACTGCTGATGGTAACCGCTGATGGTTACCACTGATGGTAACCACTGATGGTTACTGATGGTAACCACTGATGGTTACCGCTGATGGTTACCACTGATGGTTACCGCTGATGGTTACCACTGATGGTTATCACTGATGGTTACCACTGATGGTAACCACTGATGGTTACCGCTGATGGTAACCACTGATGGTTACCGCTGATGGTTACCACTGATGGGTAACCACTGATGGTTACTGCTGATGGTAACCACTGATGGTTACCACTGACTGATGGTAACCACTGATAGTTACTGCTGATGGTAACCGCTGATAGTTACCACTGATGGTTACCACTAACTGTTACCACTGATAGTTACCACTGATGGTAACCACTGATGGTTACCACTGATGGTAACCACTGATGGTTACCACTGATGGTAACCACTGATGGTTACCACTGATGGTAACCACTGATGGTAACCACTGATGGTAACCACTGATGGTTACCACTGATGGTTACCACTGATGGTAACCACTGATGGTTACCACTGATGGTAACCACTGATGGCTACCACTGATGGTAACCACTGATGGTTACCACTGATGGTTACCACTGATGGTAACCACTGATGGTTACCACTGATGGTAACCACTGATGGTTACTATCAGTGGTTACCGTTAGTGGTAACCACTGATGGTTACCACTGATGGTAACCACTGATGGTTACCACTGATGGTAACCACTGATGGTTACCACTGATGGTAACCACTGATGGTTACCGCTGATGGTTACCGATGATGGTTACCACTGATGGTTACCACTGATGGTTACCACTGATGGTAACCACTGATGATAACCACTGATGGTTACCGCTGATGGTTACCGATGATGGTTACCACTGATGGTTACCGCTGATGGTTACCACTGATGGTTATCACTGACGGTAACCACTGATGGTTACCACTGATGGTTACCACTGATGGTAACCACTGATGGTTACCACTGATGGTTACCGCTGATGATTACCAGTGACGTAACCACTGATGGTTATCACTGATGGTTACCACTGATGGTTACCACTGATGGTTACCACTGATGGTTACCAGTGACGTAACCACTGATGGTTATCACTGATGGTTACCAGTGATGGTAACCAGTGATGGTAACCACTGATGGTAACCACTGATGGTAACCAGTGATGGTAACCGCTGATGGTAACCAGTGATGGTAACCGCTGATGGTTACCGCTGATGGTAACCACTGATGGTAACCAATTAAAGAACATCAAGGGAAAACAGTACAAAAAAGTAATTTGTGCGTCTTTTTGTGTTTCTATTGTCTGGAAAACTATAAGTAGGATTTTAACAACACCCAAAACAGCAACCGGCGACTCATAACATTGGCAAGCAACTTTAAAAAAAACAAAAAGCCCAAAGCCGCTTATAATAATCGGACGTTTGGAGCCGAACTCAAAATGCGCATCTCCCTCCACTGTTCATGTTTCTGCCGCAGAGAGGAAGTCAAATTGAATTACAAAAGAAAATAGTAACACAAAGTGATTTTGATGAGTCACTGTAGTCTGACTACTGGGTTTGAAAAGCAATGCGTTAGATTACTAGTTACTGAATCAGTGGTTAAAAGTCAGTACTGACATCACTGCACACAGGTTTGTCTTTTACCTTCGTGAACATGAACTCTGCCTCCCACCACAAACCCTCTGTTCTCAGCGTCCACTAACCGTTTGACCATTTCTGAGGAGGGGGACCTGAAAGTTGATCTCCACTCTGATTGCTGATGAAATGAAGCCACTCGTGCTGCAGCGGCTTCATTGGCCGGATTCGGCCCGCGAGCCTTGACTTTGACATATGTGCTGCAGAAGATGTAAAACCAACAGGAAACAGAAAAATGAAATCCCACGTGAAAAAGTTCCGTCTGTCCTTCCATCCATCTGTCCGTCCATCCTTCGATCCTCCCATCCGGTCGTCCTTCCATCCAGCCGTCCGTCTGTCCTTCCATCCCTCCGTCCTTCGATCCTCCTATCTGTCCATCCATCCAGTCGTCCGTCCATCCATCCATCCGTTCTCTGTGGAGAACCCCCCACAGGGCTTCCTGAAGGACATGGTCGAACTCCTTCTTCAAGTCCACAGAACACATGTGGACCAGGTGGGCGAACTCCCATGCACCCTCCAGACCCTGCTGGGGGTGTAGAGCTGGTCCAGTGTTCCTCGACCAGGAAGAAAACCAAACTGCTCTTCCACAATCCGAGGTTCCACTATCAGACGGACCCTCCTCTCCAAAACTCTTCCATCGTTCAACCCAGACCTGCTCTCTGGAAGAGACCCCAACACCAACAATGCTTCAGAGAGTCGGGCATGTTTCTTCTCAAGATGTTGCCCCTGAATTTGTTTTTTGTTGAGATGGCAGATTACGAGCATTATTAAAATATCCACGACGGGACCCAATATCCCAAAGTTCCCGACTCCCACATTGTTCGAAAAACACGCCCGACTCTCTGACACATTGTCGGTGTGGTCTCTTCTGGCTTCGTCTCTTCTTTTTCCTCTGTGGTCTGGATCTCCTGTAATTTCTTTTTATATTTAATTCTGTCTAGTTTAATTTTTAGAGTCACAATTTCCTCGTTTAGTTCTTTGTTCTCTGACTCCATCCAAACACGATCTCTGGCATGCTCCACTGATGAACTTTGTGCATGTCTCCTAATTGATATATTTGTTTGTTGAATTTGTTGACTTGTCCTATAATATCTTGAAACTCATTTTTCAAACATTTAATAGTGGCTCTTGCCTCCAGCAATTCTTTATTCAGGTCCTTGATCTGATTTTCATTTTGCTCTTTTAAATCAAAAAGCATTTTTGTTTTGTTCTTTGATGTACCTTAAATTGCTGTCAGTGCTGCTGGACATACGTTCAATTTTGCTCCTCAGTTTTGTCCACCGTGATTTTGAGCCGCTGGTTCTCCTCTTCCAAAACTTGCACTTTCGTAAATAAATTGTTTTGTGCCATCGTTGATGTGTTTATCAAACTTTCTGAAACAGCAAATGAATCTCTCTGTGGAATCTTGGAATATAGAGACAGTCACCAATGATGTCACAGAGAGGATGAGTGACATCACAGTTTTACGTCAAAGCCACAAGAAGTCTGTTGTGTGCGAGGGGGGAGGAGCGGGGGAAGATGTTTCTTTTTTTACTTTATTTGCAGGCACACTGTATAACACCAGAGTGAAACATTTATTATGCCTCAAGAAAAACAAATACAGATAAACAGTGTTCAAGAAAAAGCTAAACTAAGCTAATTCAAAGCATTACAGATTTCAATTGTTTTAATAGCTACTTTTTGTAACTTTATTGTAAAATACAACATGGCATGGCTTTCCCTACCTGGAACAATGAGTATGATATTTAGCTCGTGACAATAAAGGATTTATGAGAAACTAAAAAAAATAACCTGCAGCAGCATCATTCTCTAATACTTCCTGCCATTTTCTTTGTTATTTCTGCCAGTAGTAACATCCAGTTGTTGATCACATGACACGTGATGTGAAAAATGTGTTTCTGTTGTAGTTTTGTGAAATACACTAATTCTAGTTAGAAAACCAATTTATACAGTTAGAAAACCAACTCAACCTAATGAAAAAAATTAATAAAAAAAAAACATGTTTTTTTTCAAAAAGGTGTGTTTCCATTAGGTAAATTTATTGTTGTAATTCCAACTTGCACAATAATATGATCAATGGAAACATACCTGTATATTATTTACAATAGCAATAGCAGGAGATAATCAGTCAGTATGATTTTTATGCTATCTGAACCTGTTTATCACTCTAACCAGAAATGTTTCCTTGAACAACCTTCTACTTTCATTTTCTTGTGTAAGTAATTATTGACTTCCATCAAAATAACTTCCCAACACAAAGATGATGGTTTAAAAATTTAGAAAAAACATTTACACATGAGGCAATAACATTTTTGAGACTGGAGTTCACTTTGGTTTTGGCTATTCTCAGACTGGCTGTTAGCTTTAGCCTCTGGGATCAACTAATCAGGATTTATACAAAGTGAGGAGACATAAACTTTACTGTCTAAAGAGCCACCTCAAATTTAGGGTCTGAATTGTGGAATAGACTATATTTGTTACCCGACTGGTAAACATTCACTATTCAATTTCAAAACATCAGCTGCTTCCGGGGTCCTGCAGGCCATAAAGGCCCGATAGGACTCCTTCTTCAGCCTGACACCGAAGGTGTCCACGGCCACAGCTCTGATAAGCCGCCTCGAGGCGCAGAACATGGTCCATTCAGACTCACAACACATTTGGGCCTGCCAGGTCTGACTGGCATCCTCCCCCACTACTGGAGCCAACTCACCACCAGGTAGTGGTCAGTGGACGGCTCTGGACCTCTCTTCACCTGAGTGTCCAAGACATACGGCCGCGGATATGATGAAACGATGACAAAGTCGATCATCGAACAGCGGCCTCAGGTGTCCTGGTGCCGAGTGCACATATGGAAACCCTTATGCCTGAACATGGTGTTTGTTATGGACGATCTGAGACGAGCACAGAAGTCCAACAACAGAACAGCACTCAAGTTCAGATCGGAGGGAGCGTTCCTCCCAACCTTGACCCTCCACGTCTCACTGTCATTGCCCACTTTAGCGTTGAAAATAAGTCTATAAATCTAATTGAGATAAAGCAATTAGGACAGAAACAAAAAAATCGGATTAATCGATTTTTTACATAATCTTTAACTATTTAAGTAATCAATTAATTCTTAAGTGGAGTATACAGACTCAAAATAAGTCTGTAATTCAGCCAAAACTTTACAAAAATACATAAATTTTACATTTAATCTAAACAATTTTAGCCTCACCTGGTTCAAATTCTGTTAAAATATTCTACTAAATATCTTTTTATACCCCATTACTAATTGATAAATTCAAAATTAATCAACAAAATAAGTTTGAGTTTTTGATATGTTGATGTTGGAAGCATTTTTTATCTGCAGCTGTATCTTATGCTGCAAATAAGAATGCTTTGTTTTTACATTTTAGGCAATAAAATGTTTATTTTCTTCATTAAAAAATGGCATAATTGTTTATTTGCATCTTTTAATGTATTTCTAATATAATATACAAAAGTCTGAAATTATTGAAGGCACAATCTGTAGAATTTATCTGAATAATTGACAGAAAATTGGATCAAAAAGTTATTGTCTCCTGGTATAAACTCAGTTTTTCTATTTTTTGTTATTTTTTTGCACTGATGTCTTCCATCCTCTGCTGGAAGCTTTCTTACCTGGTGTCCTGCAGTCTACAGGTGAGGCGCCAGGTGCAGTCCTAGTTCCTGCTCTCGCCTGTCCACTGCTGTCAACACACCAACAATCTCCAGTGGGTCCATGGCACTGGAACGAACACACAAGAGGAATGACATTAATGAACACATAGTACGAATGAATGAAGAAACAGATGCAAAAGGAAAGTCTAGTTACCTGTTGAGGTAGGAACTGCCCCTGTGCGTCACAGCGAGGGACAAACACTGGAGCTACAAGGTGACGCTCCTGAAGCCTGGCCGGTGCGCTGTCTCTCTATTCCTCACATGCAGTTTTAGGATCATCTGATCCAAAAAGAAGAAGAAAAAGAGCCAGAAATGAAGCCATTTTACAACGTATGGCATGGGATTGATTAACAGAAATCAATTTTCTTCCATAATTCAACGTGACATTAATTTATTCCCTTCAAAACTGCAGTTTGTGACTTTTAGATTTGTTTTACATGTGTTTTAAACTGTCACCATGTTGTGATAGTTTGGTATGAGACAGATTAGCATGGCTAACGATAATGGCATCAGCATGACAAAGAATGATGACATTAGCATGGCTGTTGATGACGGCATTAGCATGGGTAACAATGACAGAATTAGCTAACAATGATGGTGGGTAAATAGTTCTCCTATAATTGTTGGTTCTCCACCATTAACCCAATTAGCAACAAGTTCATGAGATTGATTGACAGCGCCTAGCTTTTACAGTTTCTCCTGATTGCGTTGATGCATTTGTGAATACAGCGGGCTGAACAACAGCATCACTCAAGGCTCAAACCGTACCACAACATTTCAAATACTAAATAAAAGCAAATATTACTGTCAATCTGCCTTAAAATAAACATGACATGTTCCAATCAACCATTACACAATAAACAACAAAATCCAAAACTTCACCTTCAGTGAAGCCCAGAGGTTTTCAAAGTGTGGGCGAGCTAGCCTACATGTTAGTGTATGTGCTAGCCTCTATGCTAGTCTCCATACTAACCTTTATGCTAGCCTCTATACTGTTCTACATGCAAGTTTCTGTGCTAACTTATGTTTGCACAACATATGGCATGGGATTACTATGTATGAAAGTCTAGAGTTAGTTAGTGATTACTAACTAACTTACTCCATGTTAATCTTTATGCTAGTGTCCGTGCTAGCCTCTGTGCTAGCTTCCATACTGGCATCAGACTCATTGATGTTGGCTACATGCAAAATCTGTCTATACAGGTTGTGTCAAATTGTCCTTGAAATTTGACACAATCTGTCAAATTTCAAGGACAGGTTGTTTCTGTTTGGTTGCCATAAACGATGAAGTTTGGACTGCTTGATTTCTGTGTTTCTCGAAAGTGTGAGAGAAAACGTCAAGATATTTTTAACTTGAAGATTTAAAGAGAAAAAAAAATCCAATGTTGCCATTTCATTTTGTAACAAGGTTAGGATTTACTGTGGTTCTTAAAAACCTTTTTATTTATATTTAAATGTTTACATTACATCAATTTATTCCAACTGACTATGATGGACAGAGTGATTTTAAAATCACTTTTACCACACGTCATGACATGTGTGGTAAAAGTGTGGACCCAAATGCAGCAGAAGTAAAATTTTTGCTGTAGATTAAAAAAATAAAACTTACAAAAAAACAAACAAAAATAATAAAGCTCTTCAACCAGAGATATGAAGAGAACATCAGGGAGAAAGGACGAGGAGCAGTGTGGTGGGGTAAAAACTCAAACTGGCCAGCAACAGTCTGTGATTTGACTATTTAGAGACGTGGTTATATTCATCTGCTACTTAAAAAAAAACACTTGGTTTATGTTCCTAAAAGTCAGTTTGGTGTAAAAGTGGAGCTAATGTACTAACAAATATCACGTTAAGGACAAACATAAAAAAAAAAAAAAAAATAGAAAAAGATCCTGCTTCTACATTTGAAAAAAAAAAAGACTAATGGAACTAAAATGTTCTTCGTAAAAGAAACTATCAATATTGTAACTTTATAGACCAAAAATGTTACAAGAAATTCATAAGGAACACTCTGTTATGGACAAAAGGATTCTTTGTCTTCTCTGTTTTATCTGCTCACACGCACACAACTGCATGCTGACATAACCATAAGACTGGTGACAGTCACACATCAACAAAAACTGATTAAGGCAGACCAACACCTTAGAGAGGAAGTTGTATGAGGAGAAAATAAAGCTGAACTTGTGCTACAAGATTTGCTTCACTTGGAGTCAGCCCTAAGGTGAGCTGAGTGGAGCTGAGCGCTGCACGATCAATGTTATACTCTATCTGTTCTATTTGTGTGACTTACTATTTGATAATAATCTGCATTAAAGTCTGTTTCAGATTTAACCAAATTTTATTATTTCTTACACTGGGGTTTTAATTTATTCCTAGCAGCCCCACTGATGGGGTGGCACAGACACCACCCCATCAAAATCATTAAATGTGATACATGTGGATCCTAAGCTAAAATATGGCCGATTGTTCTTTCAAGCCATCGCATTGTCCCGTGGTCCCACATACAGAACACCATGTCTCCAGTAATGGCCAGCAGCCTTCAGTGTTGTAAAACCCCGGACACATCCCACATGGGTAAGCTAATGTGATATTAACGCCACCTAGGTTATTATCACATTGAAGTAATTAAACGTGATAAAAACATGGCTGAAACCAACGAGTAAAAACATGCCAAATTCAATATGATTCTCAAATAAAGTCTAACAAACATGATAAAACTATTTCTAATTTAAAGGAAAAGAGAAAATGGAGAAGTAAAGTAGCACCTGTGGAGTAAAACGTTGTAAAGAGGAAATTCTGTCAGTATAGCAAAATAAAATTGAAGATATTATGTGAGATTAATTCATAACAAACGTAGGCTCACGTTAGAATATTGTGGGAACATTTGTGTATTTGAGTAACTCACTTTGAAAAGTGAAAAGTAAAATGAAGCTTTTGATCTGTGTGCATGTGTCACAGATAAACTCTCAGGTCATTCTGCCAAAATCAAAATCATCTGAATTATTTACGGCTCAGAGGGTTACAGAGGTGAGATCAAATGGGGAGGTAATTTACTCAGATTCAGCAGCTGTTTAAAGGTCCCATAAGCTACAACTCAAACAGTTGTCAATAAAAAAAGGGAAAAAGAGTAAAAGCTTTGGCTGAAATTTTCAGGTCAAACTGTGAAAAAAACAACAAATATAAAAAAACCCTAAAATCAGTGCTCACATTGTCCACCAGGTAGCCGTAAATAAGGTATTTTATGCACTGCAGGGCTAATTTATACTCAAGTGGTACTGTCCTCAGCCTACATGACTGTAACACTTACACTCAAAAAGTCAACTATCCTTACTTGTTGAGTCAGAGGGGAATGGCGCCCTCCAGAGTTGAGCAAAGTGTTTATCACTAGGATTTTTGTAGTTGGTAAAGTAACAGTGTGCAAAGCTGATTGTTAGGTATTCATCAGCTTCAGGGTTTTAGTCCATTTACTGTTTTCATTTATACAAAAAAGATTGATATAGCATAATGAACAGTAATAATTGACATTTGCAGCCCGTTACAGCTTTAGTGTAAAACAAGTAACCACCAGACTTTAGATACAAGTTGTATAAGTGGATAAATCTGTAATGGTGCATGAGTATATCAGTTTGCATTTATCAAATGAGTATCATTTGATAAAATGATCAGTCTCAAATACTTAGAATTCTAAAAAAATTTAATTATCTTTTACAGGGAGCCTATATTATCTTAATATATCAAAAAGATGTATTAAGAATCAAAATAGAAACTCTTAAATTTGTTCATTGAATGATTATATAGCATCAAGTCATTAAAAATCATTAATAACTACTGTCTAACTAATAAATCCAAATGAAAATAAGTGGTGACATAAAACAAACTTAAAATCTAATGATTCAAAGGGAATTCTCAAAATGCTGGAGAAAATAGTATTAAGTTTAAAGAGCATTTAAGTTTAATAAAATCATTTAAGCATGTTATAACAGCTGTGTAAGGATTGGATTTTGGACCATATCCAGGATGGAGTCTGCTTAATCAAAATATTATTTGGTTCACATGATGACATGTGAAGTCTATTTCATTAGTCAAAATGGTAAAGTGCTTATGTATGAGCATGAATGAAATTTGTTCAAGCTCAATTTTGTGATTTCCTTGGCTCCACAAAAGAGTTCTTACAATTTTTGTCCCCAAACTGATTTTTTTAAGATGAAGTGAATGCTCACACTTTGTGTGATAGAAAGTATGTTTACAGTCATCAGAACATACTTTCTATCCTTGATGGAAAATAACACTATAACCTGACTCAGAGTCCTGTCTTTCATGACTGTGCTGAAAGTAATACACAAATGATTAGGATGGAATGAAGATCCACCTCATTCCGAAATAATTTAAAACATAAAATTACATTTATTTAAAAATATATTATTGATGATTCTGAATCTTAAGTTGGAACATAATTGCTATATTGGATTTATTTGTATTTCATTTAGCTTCAAGTGGATAAGGATTAGATTTTGCCATAGATCTAACCTAGATGGCGTTATGCACCTTGACCTGATATTGTTGTGCTCCACTTTAAATAAGGAGAAGAAGAAGAGCCTCGCGGTCGCTACTTTAAATAGGATTCTGTTGAACCGCTTTGATGTGTTCGCCCGATTTAACCGACTCTGTGCGCGAGCGTATAAGCGGATTAAGCTAACTGTTTCTGCTCTATCTGTTCAGACGCACGTGCCCGTTTCACTGCGGTAGCGGTTTTGTGTTTCCATCCCCCAGAGTTTATAGTCTGAAACAGAAAGGTGGAATATGAGCCTCGACTACGGCGTGTGGGACCGCATCTCCGTCCTCGTCCTCACTCGTCCGTTCGTGGACACGCCGAGCTTGGTCAGAATGAGACGCCGGGTCAGCAGAGACAGTTGTTCTAGCGGTGAAGGTTGGAGTCCCAGTATTGGTTAGTCTTCACTAGATGTTACACGTAGCAAAGGAAGAGTCGCGCGTGTTTGGTGAAAAGGTGTTGTGCGGAGATCTGTAAGCCGTTTAGATGAGGCTAAATGCCTTTCGACAGGAGCACTGCTTTATATCATGTAAAGGGGTTTAAATGTTGGGGGCGAGGGGGGGGGGGGGGGGGGAGAAAACAATAAAAACAACTCAAAAAACAACTATTAATTGCATTCTTTAATTTTTTTTATAGTGATATGTAAATGTTGACAAATTAAACTAGTGTTTAAACAGAATAAAGATGCATTATTAGTACTTAGAAATAGAACTTTTCCAGCATAATCCCCCACAATAAGATAGAAATTGATCTAACTATTAGTTGATCAAATATGTCTCCAAATTTGAATTATTCTCAGCCAAACAGAGCTGAACTAGGCTTGAAATGTTTTCTAGTGGCCATAGCTTTCTCTTTTTCTTATTTTTTGATTTTGTTTGCTGTATTTGGTGTTCTGTTTGTAACTTTACTTACTAGTTGTAAACTCTATACAAATAAAATATATTATTATTTTCATGAGTGCTTTCTTAGCAACTTACAAGAAGATGCAGTTTAGAAAATGTGTGTTCTAGGTCATGCATAAAGCTTAACATTTTAGCCTAAGAATAACAGTACGGATTACAAAACCTTTTTTGTAAGGTTTTGTAATTTGTACAAACTTCTGATTAGAATTTTCTTAAATTTAGATTAGCTGTGCATTTCAGTCCTCTATTACAATAATTAAGCAAATAATATTCCAGTGCCATGTAAAATCTGACATGCATGGCAAATGGACTGATTTTTCCTTTCTTTCTTTCTAAGACAGATTTTGCACAAATATTTAGAATTTTTTATTTTAAATTGCGCAAAATTAGGAGCTCATGAAAGTGAGTGGAAAAATTTAGATTAAAACCTAAAAATAGCAACTAAACGATGAAATAGGTGTGAAACACATTTATGACTGTAAGGTTGAGAATAGCAACAGTAGTGATCATGCTTCTTTTATCAGCTCTGGATCTACATAGCTTAAGTTGTTGATGTAATCTTGTTGTCACATGACTTGTAAGTGAAAGAGAAAGCACACCTCTAGTATTCCCCTGACGTTCCCCGTCTTTGTTGCTCCTCAGGTTTTGGAATGTTTGATGTTAAAGGATCTCACTGTCTGCAGTTTATTTAAAAACTTTCCTACATGTGGGAAAGTCCAGACAACACTAGAGGAAGATTTCTCTGTTCACAGAACTAAGGAGCATTTAAATTTGTAAATTTAAGTTTTCTTCATAAACATAGTCTGTTAAATACCTTCCAATTTCTAATTATTTTCTCATAGATTTTGCTGAAATCCTGCATTTTTTTATGGTTTCATTTTGAATAAAATCCACCATTTGTAAAATGCTTCTTTTACTCTTTGCAAGGTCTTTTAGTTTTATGTTTATATGTTCCATTTTTGCTTAATCTAACTATGTTGTATTACCTCTATATCACCACTTTTCCATATGTCTCACTTTCATCTGTATGTGCCAAAGGCCAGGCTGGATAAGACGGCCAAATTTCAGCAGAGGGGTGAAGATCTGGAAAGCAGCTTTGTGGAATGCCGAAGGCTGCTTCAGGAAGCCCAGCGACAACTCGGATCCTTGGAAGAGCAGGTGAAGCGGGAAGAGGAAGATGAGGAACGAGAGGCTGAGCTGAAGAAAATCCAGGCTGAGTTAAAGAAACTTGAGAAGGATGAAAAGTTCTTTCTGGGACTCCTGGAGGAACATCGGCGTGATGAGAAGAAACTTCCCTGGAACGTAGACACCATCTGCAGCGAAGGTTTTAGCAAGGTAAAGAAGGGGAAAGGATCTCACTGTCTGCAGTTTATTTATTCCACACAAATTCTGAAGGAGTTACATAAATTCATTTATTGCTATTCTGAAGCTGAAATGTCAGAAAGGGGTGAAAATCATTTTGGAGCTTTAAAACTACTTTGTGTTTTTTGATTGAATTATTGTTAATTTTATTATAGCTGTATTTTGTTCTTCTGGTAGACATCTTTTATTCAGGCTAGATATATTAAAGTTGGCATGACTGAAAACCTGAAAAAGTTTGGGGACCACAGACATTGTTTTCATGGTTTTCCTTCTTTAGTTTTTGGTAGATAGAGATACAAATCTTTCAGTGTGTAGGGATTCGGTCCCAATTTTTAGGGTCATGATTCAATTGAGAAATCATTTTTAATTCAGAAACCATGTTTAAATTATGTGACTGAAAAGAGGAATAGGAACACCCAGAGCATTTATGTAAAGGTGCATTATTATGTAAAATTGACTTCTTTGAGGTTTATATCATGCTACAATGTTATTACCTCATCAAAAACAAGCTTCCATATTACAGAACTGATTAATCAATTAGTGAAATAATCACCAACTAACTTAATGAGCGATTAATCGGGTCCATCCTGAATAATCAGTTACTGAAATAATTGTCAACTAATTCAGTGATTGGAGTGTACAGACTCAAAAAGGCCTTTTCTTGAAAGAACATAATTAGAGCTGTAAGACAAAACTGTACAAAAAATATACACATTTTTCATTTAAGATAAAAAAAAAGCTAGTTTATAATTATGTGAAAAACTGGACCAATATCGATATATGATAGTGGTGTTTCTGTTATGTTGGATTTACCAATATTTAATACTCGATTAGTCATAAGAATAATTGATAGATTACTCGACTACTAAAATATTTGCTTACAACAGCCCTTATATCATTAGTTGCAGGGCCATTATTTGTAATGATTTCATGGTCCTGAATGATGCGTTTCAAAACGTTTATACATCAAGCTCTTGCGCGCCGAAGTGCGGCCTCCTCCAAAACGAAGAAAACTGAAGAGCTTATTTATTTGATCGCATTCTGAGATTTTAAACGTAGCATTGTAAGAATTTCAGCGGTCCGTATACATGGATAAAGTTTTCTCTCCGTGTGAGGCGTCTTGCTTCCTCAGTACTTTGGCGTCTCATGTCTTGCAGGAAATGCAGAGGAGTTTTGATGAGAAAAACACAGAGATGCTGCAGTATGTGATGAACAAGCTGAACCCTGAGGTGAGCTGGTGCCTCTTTAAGAAATAATTATTTTCATTAACTAAACTGTTTCCCCCTGTAATTTTTGACCTTGTTTAACAGGAGGGAAGGTACCACCTGCAGAGATGCATTGACTCAGGCCTGTGGGTGCCTGACTTAAAGGAGGAAGAAGATTAGAAAATGAAAACCGAACTCGGTCATCGTTAAGTCTATGTTTTTAGTGTGTCTTAAAGATGAGGAAATTACACTATGTACTTTCCTTTGATTAATATATCGCAATGTTTTTAATCAAAAATCTAATTTAAAACAAATTTCAATATTACAAATTTTAATGTAGATCTGGAAATATGGACACGTGTGGATTGGTTTGTTTTTCTATTCACTCTGTCAGACTATTGAATTAAAAACATTATGTGCACTCTAAGGTAGGTTGTCTTGTTCTTTTCATTAATACGTGGCAATACGTGTTTGCGACTTCAGACCCAGGAAAGAGCCGGCACTCGCTGGAGGGACCATATATGTTCAAGTTTCCCATCTGCTTCCTTCAGGCTTTCATCATAGAAATATATCCGGACTGATATTTCCACTTTGGAACCTCAACTATTTGAATCTGGTTTAAAAAATCCTGAAAAATCCCGTTGATGACAATGAATTTGTATTTGATCGCATGAAATAAGGACTTATCTAAATGACTATGTTTGATTTTAAATTAGAAACAGGTTCACAGTAAACACAAGAAAACAAGAATGGTGAACAATAAACTTAATAGTCAAAAACAATAGCTTGAAGTAATGTGTAAAGTAAAACACATTCCCCTCCTTAAGCCACTTCACAATGATGTCCTGTTATGTTTCTGTCTATTCCCTGCACAGTGAACTGACAAAACATGAATAGTCAAGCAGTATGAAATAGAACTAAAGCAACGTGCAAGTATAAATATGTCCAATAAAAGGTATAAAATATGTTTCTAAGTAATTATGTGGAAGGTGAAGAAGGGTATAAAGATAATAATATGAGATATTGTGAGAAGAATCAGTTGAATATAAGGGTAAGGGAATTTTAAAAAAAGTGTAAAGTTATTGCTCCTTTTCTGACAAATGGCTAAAATGACTGAGACTTCTGTTGCAAAACGTTGTTTTTATTGTGTGTATTTGTTTAGGGGTAGGCCTATTCTTTTTAGTGTATTTTTTTGTATTGATCAAAATAAATAATAAATTGTTCAAAATAAATAAATACTTTTGTTAAGGTCCAGCTTTCTGATCCTTGATTTTAATGCACGCTTATTTATTTTACCATTAAAATATAGAAGTGTTTGTTATCACAATGTCCTCATATGTAACAGGAATAAAATATGGGCGGCTGAAATTCACAATAGCTTTATCACGATATTTTGCGGTACTATTGCGATAACAAATAAAAATGTCTATAAGAACTGCTTGTTACTTGTCTTTTTTTTAGGTTGGACTGTGACGGTGTTTCACAACAATCACTGTCCCACAAGTACAAATACTCCCCTTGAAAAACGTTCCCGTTAGAAATGTGCTTCTTTAGGACGCAGCGAGTTTCTTCAAGGATTGTGACTTGTATTGCAATTTTCAAATGTGTTGGTATTTATTGACGCTTTTATCAAAGTGCAGAAAATAGTCAAACTAACAATCCCGACAGTATGGATCAGCTTTTCAGCTAAACATCATTAATTGGTATTTATCGTGAAAAAGAAGCCAACAATTCTTATCACGATAAGTAATTCTGTCACGACAAAACGATAAATAATACAATAAACGCCCACTCCTAATTTTGCACGCAGAAATAAAGGGCTTGTCATTGGGGAGCTGCGAGCATTTTTGTTTAAATCATCCTGTTCTGTATTTCATCTCACACCTTAAATTCCACATCCGTTTTTCCTCCAAAATGGTCAAACAAAAGGAAGACTGGGATTCTTGTAAGTTGGGGCTTTAGAGCGAGCCACCGCATGTCCTTGAATGGCTCTGAAAGGACATAGAAACAGGACAGAATGGGCTGCCAGGAGACATGGATGCTTATTGTTTTTCTTCTTCTTCTATATATGGGTAGTGTGTCAATAAAAACCTGCTCTTTGTGTGAGTGTGACGGAAGGTGACTGGTTATCCAGATAGGACGGCTGCTGATGGAAAGAGAAAAACATGTTCTGTCTTTTAAAAGAAGAAGGGGGGTGGGACGTGGGGGGAAAACAGCAGGGTATAACGATGGAGAGAGGAGGAGCGGAGACTGTTGTGTGGGATTAATGGACAACACTGTGCGGGAGGGTGGAGGGTGGATGTGGATGGGCTTCTCCACGGAGCCGGTGGTGGTGGGAGGGGGGCGGCTGGGGGAGACCACTGTGGCAGGGGAGAGTAGAGGGAGATCGGGAGGGAGGAGGGAAGCTGGTGAAGCCGCGGATATTCATGAGAACGGAGAGTGGTTTCTCTCTCTCTTTCTCTCCCTCTCTTTCTCCGTGGTGATACACTGCAATGTCTGCAGACAGACAGGCGGACGAACAGGAGACAGAGACTGAAGGAGACAAGTAAAAGCAAGACAAGGCCCAGCCCTTCTTCCCATTGATCTTCAGGCGATCAAGGTGAGTGTCTTCCCCCCCACCCCCCACCATTATTATTATTCCTGCATCCTGCGCGTGTGTGGGGTTGTATGTGTGCACGTGTGGCTTTGCTGACACACACACGCATCTCTTGTTGTTGCTGTATGTGTGCAGACATGAAAGCAGGACAGCCGCCCCCTTCCCACTCCCCCCACCCTCCCTCTCATGTATGCACGGTCCATTTTTATTTATTTATTTGCTCCTCATTCACGTTTTGAGTGTTTGGTAACAGAACAGCAGGTTGGTGGTCGAGATGCATGTTGCTGCAGCGCCGCTTGGTTTTGTAAGCCGCTGGAGATGGAAGTGTGTGCCTGCCAGTATGTGCTCGTTTTCCTTGTTGTCTGTCCATATATATGTCACTGTGTCACTATGCATTTGTTGATTTCTCCTCAGACCTGTTATCGCTCTGTGCATCTCCACTGACTCTGCTGTGAAGATCCCCCCACCCCCAAATCTACCCCCATTTATTTATTAATTAATTTTTTCCCTGGGAGGGTGTGTTCTCTGTGACCCTGGTAAAAGTCGCTTCTACCACTATGTGTATTTTATGCTGATATGTGATATGCTGAATCTGTCCCATCCAATGGAATTAGGTCAACGCGGATTGCTCGGAGTAATAATATAACATCAGAGAACTCTGGTGTTGCAGTATCTCCCCAGAATCAGCTCTGAAAATCCCACCACAGTCCAGAACATTTCCCCAAGTTCAGAGTGAGCGCAGTTTCCATTGCGCCATTTCACATTTCGAAAGTTAATTCACTTAATGGAAACAATTAAAAAAGGAAGAAAGAGAAATCGAACTCGTTTTTGTTGGTTGTATAGAAATTGATAACTGCATTGGAAACACTTCCCCCCCACCCCCACATTGTCAATAACCGGATGTTGCCACCGGAGTAATCCGATGGAGACAGGAAGTGGTAGGAGGGGGATGGCGCAGCATGTTTTAAGACGTTTCTTGGACAAACCTACTCACGTGTAATTTTAATAGCGTTGTTTAATTTAATGGAAACACCGCAATTGCGAAATTGTGGTCTTTTTCGACATTAGCGAATATTGACAAAGTTTTGAACACATTTATAGTGGAAACACAGCAGTATCATCGCCCAATTTGGCATTAAAAAAACAAAAACAAGATATTTGCTCAATGGAAACACGCCTTCTTCGAAACCCCGTTTAAGCTCTAAGGTGTGATTTTATTGGCCGTATCAATTTATGTTTGTTTTATATAACTGCAATGGAAACACTTTTTTTTTTTGCACCTATTCAACAACCAGATGTTGCCACTGGTTCAAACCACAAAGAAGAAAACAGGAAGTGGGAGGAGGATAATGGCACACTATACTTTTAAATAACTTATGGCATGAAGACATTTATTCATGTGTGATTTAAATTGCATTCCTTATTTAATGGAAATTACTAAATTGTGTTTTTTTTTGGACATTAACAAATATTGACTTTATTTTTCACACATTTGTAGTGGAAATGCATCTACCTTCACCAAGCAAATAAGGGACTTGTCGCTGTGTTTCTTTAAAATTTAGTGCAGAAATGAAAATGTCCACAGATTATTCTTAATATGACCAACAGCCTAGAGGAAAAATCCTAATATTTTTTAAATAATCACAAGTACTTGAGGTGAATGCAATTGGACTTCCTTCCTTTTTCGATGAAGATAAGACCAGGGCAAAAGGTTTAAGAAATAATAAAGTCAAAATTTTGACCTATAATGAAACAACCAATTTATAAGAACTGACGGATGTTTCAAAATGTAGCATTTGATGAAGTTAAGATTGTGTAGCTTATTTCAGCACCAAAGTTGTTAAAAGGTAGTTAAAACATAGTTCAGCAACAAATTATGGAACAAGCAATAACCATTACATTTTGTCAAAAGCTCTAGTCAAAACATCAGCAGACCTTTAATGTATTTTGGTACTAAGCCGTACAGTAATTTATAACCTAACAGATATATTTTAAAGTCTAGTCTCTGAGTGACAGCGTAAGGACTTTAGAACTGGGAGAGATGTGCTCTATCTTTCTGGTTTTAATGAGAACACCAGCAGCAGCGTTCTGAATTTCTGGATCATGAAATTGATCCATATGAGAAACTGAAACTGATCTTGTAAAGAGAGGTTGAAGGGAAACGAAGGACGTCCTGCTGCCTTTCCTTCAAACACTTTAATTGAACAAAAACAATAATTTAAATCTTGATGCTGTACGAGTTGAGTGGAGAGAAGCTTTATCTTGTAATATGTTACAGAAAATATTTTACTGTATGAAAGCAGAAGAGTAGCTACACTATTGATTAATAAAAACACAAAGATAAAACCGGTTTATTAGCTCTATTTCTATGCTAACTCCTATTTTTTTGTTTTGTTTTGCTATGCCTAAGGAGAAGACTCAAGGATGTCTTTCGCCAAATCAAATCAGGAGTTTGGAATTTGATGTCCCAGATGAGGCAGCAATATCCAGAGAGACTTGCCCAGCCGAGATTGGATCCAAGTGACCGGTCCTCTTACGGAAAGCCAACCTGAGCGACGTTACAGACCTGCTGCAGAGTTTTTAAGCTTCTCCTGGATTCTGGATGGTTTGGAAAACGACTGGCTGGCAGGATTCATTTACCGTAGCCATCATGTGATCCACTCTTCGAGCCGGATACGTGCCAAGAAGAATCTGAGGAGATGATGGTACCTTTGGTGGCGTCGTCTGGTATTTTTATCTGGATGTTCCACAGGCTCATCTAACGGGATGACAATTGTTTTTAACTCCTTTGCCTCTGATTTTGGCTTTGGGGTAAAAAGCCCACATTTTTTGCACCTTGGAGCCTCTGAGGGGTAGATAAATGCCCCTTTACTGTTTTACAGCAGAAATACACCTGATTTGGTCCATCTAAAGAGTTGGACTGTGGAGACAGTGCAGGCGCTGCTGTTAGCTGGGCTGACTCAGCTCCAATGGGGGCCGGTTTTGACCCGGTCTGACCCCGGTTCGAGCTTTGCGGTGACCTCTGATCTCTCCGGTCCTGGCTCTCCACCTGCTCTGCTGCCTGGGTTCCGGAACGCTCCGCCCTGGGGCCCAGAACGAGCCAATCAGAATGAAGAAGAGCCGCAGCGTGCTGTCGGTGACTGGAGAGGAGGTGAGACAGGTAACATAAACAATAATTTTAAAAAATGTATTGTTCGGAGATTCTGGCTGCCAGAACAGCTGGGTTGTGAATATTTAGCGCTCAAATTGTGTAACTTTTATTTATATTTAGTAAAAAGTTATGTGGCAAGAAAAACTACCTTCCTGTATCAGCAAGCTGCACAACAGTGAAGATTCTGTTGTGTATGTAATCAGGAGTCACATCTACAATTGACATTGTCGACCTTCAAATGTTCTTAACTAAAGGATAAAAGCAGAGCGAGGTTCTTTACAGTGGGAGAATTTATTCATGTACACCGTTTCCATCTGTCCTGGATATTCATCGGGTCAACAATAGAGCAACAATAGAACACATTGATTTGTAGGCATTCTGTAATGATAATGATTTCATGAATCAACATTATTTAAATACTACAATTAGTTACCTCTCTCATTTGCTCTGTAAAGTATCATCTTATATATTGGAAACTGTAATACATGACTGCAAAGTATTTAACTAGAAAAGAGTCATAAATAAGAAAAGAGCCGAGTTCATAGTGAGGTGAAATTAGGCTTATCACAGTAACATCGTTATAACAGTTTCATTGTGTTATCCTAAAA